TGATAAGATCAGATATAAAAAAATTTAGAGATTCAACTAATGGAAATTTCACTATAATATTTAGGAATAAATATTCACGTTTTGATTGACAAATTGAAGTCAGTTAGGGAATTCTTGTCTTCCTGTTTGTCTTTCTCAAAAATTCATAATTTCATAAAATGTCCAGTGAATCGAATTCAATGGCACTCCGTTGAAAAATTACTATTTAACTGTCCACGAAATTCTTCTTCTGATAGTGTAGGGGAGGATGGGGCAAAACGGCCCCCCTTCAATCGTCAATATTTTCCGATTCAATAATCCGATTGGGATGAGTTAGAGCTCGTTTTGAAGAATGAAAAATTATCTTCAAAATGAAGTTGAAACTGGGAATTTTCACAATGTCATTCACAAGTTATTGACAATTGAAGGGGGGCCGTTTTGCCCCACACACCTATTAAAATGTCTTGAATGTAACTTTTAATGTCATCATTTCAATCATCATATTTTATTTATAACTCCCCTAAAATTCGAGGGAATTTCACCCTTTTAAATTCACATTTTAATGAAAAAATCAATGACAAGTATAATTTCAGCCCTATTATTCTATGAAAACGACTAAAAATCAAAAAAATTCCGTGTAATTTTATACTGAACACTCACACTTAGATTGAAAATTCAAGTGAGTGAGGGAATTCTTATCTTTCTGCCGCTCAAAAATTCGTAATTTCATTGAATTTTAATTGAAACCTGAAATTTCATTTTTTTCCCCCTCGCTTGAATTCAAATTCCCCCTCTCGGAAATTGCTAGTCACCCGTCCATGACCCAATATATGAGTTGCATTACTTTATGCCAATAAAAAAAACTGTGGGTAAAATTCGTATTTTTTCCTCCAGTGCATCACAAACTATTTGAAAAATGCAGTGTTTCCATTTGATTTTCATGAAAGCTCAAAATTTTCCCCATAAACTCGGTTAAAACTACTCCACCCAGAATTATTACATTACCATGCTCCCCACAAGCCCTGAAAATGGAGCTCTCCAGCTTTCAAAAACCGCACGAATACCGAGAATTCAGCGGCAGACATGCAGACAGCCGCAGACGAATGGAGCAAAAGCACTGAGAAAAGTCCGAGCTAATGAAGTCAATTAGGGAGACATCGTTATACGTGTCCATGGAGGAGCCATTAGGGTCGCCTCTTTCTCTTGTCAATAACTTGGCTATCCTCTTCTATTCGTTTCACTCCATCTCTTCGTGGATCCTCTTTTCGAGGCCCTCGAATGTCGTCACATAACCTCTTGGGTGATGCAAATTCCATTGCTGGTGTTAAAGTGCTCTCGCGTGATTTGAAGCACAAAAAATTTACGTCCTCGTGTGCTAGTTGAGTGTTCAATTATTTGGTGTGAGCGACGGATATGACCTTCGCTCATCAATTTCGTTCCATATTCTGATTTTATATTATTTTTTTTCGGGGAGTTTTTTCCAGTTTGACGGTAGGGGGAGTGTGGTAAAATGGAATTTTTTCAAATGTTGATTATTCATTGAGTTGAAAACTCAATTTTTTTCTTTAACGGACTAGGGGGTACGCCCTCTGCTCGCTCCGCTCGCCCACCTTTATTATTCTGACCTTTAATTTAAACCGTGAGAACCTTAATCTCACCCTTGTGATGCTTATTCTGACCCTTGTGATAGTTAATTTGATCCTTGTGACCCTTCAGTTCAATTATTCCATGAGAATTAATAGAAATTAAGAACATTTTAATGAATTTATTGTCGAACCTCTAATTCCAAATTTCATTATTTTTTCTCTTCCCTAAATCGAATTAAAATTCCTTCTCCTGAAAATGTCTAATCAACTGAAATTTCTTATTCATCTCGGAAAGTTAACGATTCAACAAAAATGAATTTTAAATTTCAAGCCATCATTGATAATCCAATGACAGTTTGAATTCCCAAATTCTTACGAAAATTGAACATCTCATTCGATTGAATGAATAAAAAATAAATAAATTGAATCAACAATTTTTAATGAATTGAGAACAGCAATTGACTGAATTTCCAATAATTTTCATCATCACATCAACTTAAAACTTTCCACTTCATTGAATATTCCCGAAATTAAATGATTTTTTATGAAAAACATGTCGGAAAATTTCCAGTAAATTATTCGTTATTAAAAATTTCAGTATATTCTAACAAATTTTGTTCAACTGCAAACACTCGAGTAAAAATGTAGATGCAAAGGTCCACAAGTTGACCCTTATTGCCCTCTCCAATAAAAAAATATTGAACCCATCAATTCAACCAGAGAAATCCCCGCCATCAAAGTCAAAGAAAACATTGAATTTCCAAAGTTGCATAAAACCGAGTGGTTAAATCACTGGAGCCGGTGGAACTGAAAACCACTCGGAATATTAAGCGCCCTGTGAGCCGGTTTTCGTAATCGTCGCCGCTGTACAACCAATTTATTTAACAAAGGACCGGGCGCCCCTCGCCCCGTCGTTGAAACAAAGAGAGGTACTTCTATCGGATAAAAATAACCCAAATTACCAGGTATGAATTACTCGGGGGATCCCGGAGATCCCATTCCTCTCGACAGGAAAAACGTGGGGGAAAAAAAAAACGCAAATGAGTGATACTCGAGCGAGTCCAGAAGATGAAAAATCCATGAAAAATAATACGATAATTAATTCGGAATTTTTATCTGCTACTTCTGTATTCTATATTGAGCACTCGGATTCACTTTGTTCAGTAAATTTTTGTAATTCCCGGGAATTTCTAGGATTTTATTCATTAAAATCTCTCAGAGGGACTTTATCCACATTTTTTTAGAGAAAAAGAACATATTCTTCTATATAATATAAAATTATATGAGACACGCGAGGGAAATTTTCAGTTTTTATGCGAATTTTTTACGTGAAATACTAATATAACAATTTTGGGATGAAGTTAACATTCTTTAATGAACTGAAATGAATTCAGGAATCGCTCAAATTCGCGACTTGTTGAATTTAATCCGAATTTTTCAGCAAAAACTTTCCTCATTCCGGCCCCTGTGATTTAATTGCCTTTAGGAAGTAAACAATCCATAAAAAATAATAGAATAATTATTTCAGAATTTTTATCTGACTTATATCTTCTTTTTTCAGGCCTCGAATAAATTTTTTTCAGAGAAAAAGAATATATTCTTCTACATAATATACAATTATATGAGACACGCGAGGGAAATTTTCAGTTTTTATGCGAATTTTTGGAATGAAATGCTAATATAACAATTTTGGGATGAAGTTAACATTTTTTAATGAACTGAAATGAATTCAGGAATCGCTCAAACTCGCGACTTGTCGTTGAATTTAATCCGAATTTTTCACCAAAAACTTTCCTCATTCCGGCCCCTGTGATTTAATTACCCCTAGGAAGTAAACAATCCATAAAAATTAATAGAATAATTATTTCAGGATTTTTATCTGACTTTTATTTTCTTTTTTCAGGCCTCGAATTCACTTTGCTCAGTAAATTTTTATAATTCCCAGAAATTTTCACTATTTTATTAATGAAATTCTCTCACAGGGACTTTATCGAAATTTTTTTCCGAAAAAAGAATATATTCTACTATTAAAAGTTGGGAATTTAAAATATTGCAGCATTTTACATCACGAATTTAAAATTACATGAGACATTACATGCCCCCAATTTTTGTATGCAGTTGACATTCTTCAATGAATTGTAACGCATGCATTCCGCAGAATTCATCAGGAATTTTTAACCAAAAACGTTCTGAACCTCTGCCCCTTTAATTTCTGAAATTTCTCCTCTCTACATTCCGCACATTTCATTGACGAATAAAATCGATAAGTCCAGGTTGTGAACTATAGCTAGTGGTACTCGGGATACAAGAGATGCTCGATCGTGCTCTGGCTCGTTTCTTTTTCATCGCTCTTTCACCACTTCTAGGCCGTGGTGACCCCGCAAACCCAGCCAACAATGTATCCATGTCCTCATTTTTTCCATTTACTCCTTCGATTTTCTAGTCTATACCCAGTTTTTGCCATTGGGGAAGAGGGAATAGGGTTTTGTTGAGGTGAAAAAATTATTCACGCTTATTTAGAAGGGATGACAGACAAATATCATAATAAATATGATCGATTACTCAAGGAAAATACTTCATAGAAATCATAATTTTTTTCTATGAAAAAAGTAAATAAATATGATGGATTACTCAAGGAAAATATTTGATAGCAATAATAATTTATTCTATGAAAAATTGGTGATTCGTATTGTTCATTTGGACGCGAATAAACAATACAAACAAATCGGGTTGTGGTGACTGATAGGAGAAGAACGAAATTTCATAAACAGTTTATTAGTAATTTATAGAAGAGTGACATTGAATTCAATTGAGGGGAAAAAATTGTCCACCGTATTGCAAACAAGTTTTATTATTCATTTATAAGAGGGAAATGTTTGAAAAAATATCAATATTTTGTGAAATTTAATTTAGATAATACTGACTGGGTATGAATTTTTCAAATTTTTTCCATGCAATTTAGTTGAAAAATTTAAAAACTGAAAATATTCAAAAGTACAGCGTAGCCCGGCCGAAGGGTACACGGAGAGAAATATTCAGTAAAAATTACGGAACTCACAATTCGCTCACCGATTACGGAATCGACTCAGAAAATTTAAGTGACGGTATCGTAATTTTTCACAGGAGATTCAGATAAAAATTACGGAACGCTCTGGAATAATTCCGTGACAGTTCCGTAAAATTTCCTACACCCACTTTTCGCTCCGGAATTACGGAAAAGATACGTAATTTTTGTTGAATATTTCTCTCCGTGTAGAGTTCCGTGTACTTTAAGTCCTCAAAAAATTTCAAGAGTGGTGTTATCTAATTGAGGGCTACAAAAGTAACCGTAATAAAATGTTACAAATTTGGCTATCCCTGCAAATAATTTTCGCATAATTTCCAATAGCATGAGTGAGATCATCACCGCTGACCCTTACATTCCCCTAATTCCAGGTTGGCAGCAGCGCAAGAGGCGGCACAAAGGGATCCTGGATACGCGAGTCAGTACAGGAGAAGGCAGAGGTCGGCCGGACTGAGTGGTCTCGGTGACTGGGCTAGCTTTGGAGGGGAGGTAAGATACGCAATCCGTTAATGGCACTTTGAGGGCGATAAAAAAAGAGGCGATAAAAGAAAGAGTACAAGAGAAATAATCACTTGAGGGGAATCAGTGCAGTGGGAAATCCTTCAATAAATCAAATTGCCCGGCTTTGTGATTCAAATCGACGCGTCATGATTACACACACACACACACACACACACACACAAATCAAAGGGTCTTTGTCGGGTATGAATGGGGCACGAGATGAAACTCAGTTTCATCGGGCGCCATTTCATCGCATGAAAAATATCGCGAGTGCAAGTCGCTGGATTATATATTTGCCCCGGGGTCTGACCGTGCACGACGTCTACTACTGATTCTGTGTGTGTTCGATATCATCTGGGGCTTGATTCACATTGGCATCCGGTGCCATCCTACCGACGGAATAACGCCACTCAGGTCTGCGGGCTATTTTATTTTTCAGGACTTTCACGTTTTTAGGTGCAGGAAATAGCTGGACAGCTCGGTCTAACCGGATTAGGAGTTTGATTTTGATTCGAGCGTACGAATATTTTTAGATTGAGGGGAATCGAGGGTGAAAATAAATCCAGCTGTCGGAGGCGAATCATTTTAAAGAGACATATAAAGATTTTATTTTTTAATGCAATTTGGAGAGAATCATTTCGATTTTGAGATGGCAAAAATGATTTCTGTTGGGAAGGAAGAGATTGACCTGAAAATCATTTTTGGAAATTGGAAATTCGTTTCGTGAATAAAAACGATTTCGGAAGTTTAAACAATTTGCATTGTTGTTTCATGAGTAAGGATTTTTTTATCAATTTAAAGCGATTTAATTTGTAAATTCAGTTTTGTCAGAGTCATTCCCACAGTTTTTGACAATAATTTAATTTTTTCGACGAGACGTAAAAACAAATTTTGTATTATGAATGATGAAATTGATCTAAAAGTAATTTTTTAAACTGTTTTGAAAATCGATTTCATGCATGAACAGATTTTCGAACGATTAAACAATTATCATTATTTATTTATGAGAAGGAAATGTTTTTATTAAGTGATTTAAACAATATTTATTTTAAAAAACGTAATTCCCAGCTCAACCCTTTCACTAAAATAAAAACTGAAGCAACTCAGAATTAAAAGCTGACAGCAATTGAAGAAAAATGAGCGAATTCAGAGAGGGAAAAGCGAAATAGTTGAAATGGTTGAAATTGAGTCAAAGGGGGTTAAAGGCCATCGAACTAACTCTCGGAACGGCCGGGACTTGCTGCCGGATATTCAACATCCGGAATTCTTCATCCAGCGGAAAGTGGCCCAGGCAAGGGCTATGATTAAGCCGAAAATCATTTCGAGTTTGGAGACCTGGGTTCACTGTTTATATCACTAAATCGTGGGATTCAAATGCAGGAATTCATTTACTTTGCAAATTGCCGGGAGAGACTTCCATCTGCATCCACCGGAAACCAATGAATTTTTTATTTAATTCGATGGGGAATAGGGGTAGGTTTTAATACCCACGTAATTGAACTCGATTTTTTTTGGTAATTAATTTAGCTTGAATTAGCTATAGCCATTGAAAATGGCAGCGGTTGTGGTGGTTTTGTCGGTTTAATTATTGATAATGTTGTTTTATTCAATATTTTTCGCTTTTTGCTATTTTATTCTGAGGTAAATTATTATTTTTTGTCACTTTAGTGCATTTCGTTTTAGTTTTCTTTTAAAAATCAATTCTTTTGATGAACAATAAGGAAGTTTTGATATTAATTTTTCCTTTAAACGAAGTTTTTTAAATGAAGCACCAGGAGAATTGTCTTCCCTCGATATTTATCAAATCAAGTTGAATCCTATTTAAGAAATTTCAAAGAGATTCGAGTCTAAATTATTTTTCTTAATTCATTCATTTTATTTATTTCATTCTTAATTTAAAAAATTAATTGTAAGGCGAACAAAAAGGAAATTTTTAGATAAATTCGTCTTTTGAACAGTTTTCTAAATAAAGCCCAAGAAGAATTGTTTTCCCTCGATATTCATCAAATTAAGTTAAATTCTATTTAAGAAAATTCAACGAGTTTCGAGTTTAAATTATTTTTCTCAATTCATTCATTTAATTTAATTTCATTCTTCATTAAAAAATCAATTCTGCTCATAACCAAAACGGAAATCTTGATATCAATTCATCTTTCAAACGAAGTTTTTTAAATGAAGCACAAGAAGAATTGTCTTCCCTTGCCCTCCATCAAATTAACTTGAATCTTATTCAAAAAATTTCAAAGAGACTCAAGTCTCTATTCTTTTTCTTAATTCATCCATTCAATTTCATTTCATTCTTCATTAAAAAATCAATTCTGCTCATAACCAAACCGAAAATCTTGATATCAATTTATCTTTCAAAAAAAGTTTTTTAAATCAAGCACAAGAAGAATTGTCTTCCCTCGCCATTCATCAAATTAACTTGAATCTTATTCAAGAAATTTCAAAGAGACTCAAGTCTATTCTTTTTCTTAATTCATCCATTCAATTTCATTTCATTCTTCATTAAAAAATCAATTCTGCTCATAACCAAAACGGAAATCTTGATATCAATTTATCTTTCAAACAAAGTTTTTTAAATCAAGCACAAGAAGAATTGTCTTCCCTCGCCATTCATCAAATTAACTTGAATCTTATTCAAGACATTTCAAAGAGACTCAAGTCTATTCTTTTTCTTAATTCATCCATTCAATTTCATTTCATTCTTCGTTAAAAAATCAATTCTGCTCATAACCAAACCGAAAATCTTGATATCAATTTATCTTTCAAACGAAGTTTTTTAAATGAAGCACAAGAAGAATTGTCTTCCCTTGCCCTCCATCAAATTAACTTGAATCCTATTCAAGAAATTTCAAAGAGCCTTCGTCTTTCAACGAAAAAAAAAATTACCGAGTTTTCTAAAAACCTCAAAAGAACTAGGTGGCCCACTTGACGAATAATCCGCCACGGTAGCCACTCTTGTCACACACACCCCTAACTCAGGTATTTAACTTGGTGAGTTTGAGGTGCTCTGTTCGCATTCGCACCGGTCTCTTCTCTTTCAAAATTAAACTCTGTGAAAACGACTTCACTCGGGTTGAGACCTACTACTATCGACTTTTCGAGTGAGCCCAACTGTTTTTATCCCCTCAGTTTCTCAGTCTATTTTGCTGTATTCGTAGGGCTCCGGCGGTGATGCTGTAATCACATTGGATACAGAGTGGTACTAAATGAGTCCCATAAACTTACGTTGGAACAACTCGACGGCAGTTTGGTGAATGTCGTCTAGTTACATCGTAAACTAATGTTCAAAGTACCGGTGTAGTTTAATGCGTTGAACCCACTGTCGGAAATTATTGAGGGGAATTTCGGGGGGGGGGGGTCTAGGAATACATGAGAGATTGTGGAGGAAGTTGCTAATTACTATCGACAATTAATTGCGAAGTGGTCAATCGGTTCAAGTCGATTTAGCTCCCAGTTGAGTTTTTGTTGAATAACTCGGAATTCAAGGAAGACAGCGAAATAATGAGATTTTGTAAGATCTGTTTCGATAGTCTTTACTTTTCTTTACAAAAAAGATTTATAGGAAAATTTGGCCAACTCCTTTAGAATGTGAGATACTTATCGAGAACTGGCGCTAGAAGGGAATTGACTTGAACCGTTTGACCACTTCACTAGTTATTTTTATCAGGTAGTTTTTAATGAAGTTTGGGGGAATTTTGTCATTGGTAATTCAACATTTTATGGAAAAATCTATGGAAATTGTGAATTTTAGTTGAATTGATCCATGAAAATTTAAAAGGTACATATATTCTTGAATATTCAGGGTTATTTGGGATTGAATGGTAATTTTTCGATTGCTAATTCAAGTAATTTGGGGAATTATGTGAAATCTGAAATTTCATGATTTTTTCCCTTCAAACTCAATGGATTTCCTCATTAAAAATTTAAAATTTAATGGAAAAATGGATGGAAACTGCAATTTCAGATGAATTATTGTGTGAAAATTAATAGAAATCAAGAAAATTTAGAGAAATATATTCTTGAATCTTCAATTAATCGAAAATTTGACCCTAAATTTCCGGAAATTTTAGAATGGTTTTATTATTTATATTTTGCAGGTTTGAATTTGAATCTTGATATTGAACGGTTAGAAAATATTCTAAAAAACTACAAAAAAATTAGAAAGTTTACTTCTGGAAAAAGATGACGAAATAATTTAAAAATCGCAATTTTTGGAAATTACGAGTATTTTCTATAAATAATTTATAAGCAATCAATTTTCCACCGCAAAAATCAGTTCGGAATCGCAACAAATTTATTCATACGCAATTTTACCAAAAATCGACTCCATGCCTAAAAAAATAAGGTCTCCAAAAGTTTAAACAATTTCAATAATTTATTGATAAACAACGAATGTTGAAAAAAAATCATTCTCTGCAAAATGTAATTTGAAGACTCTGAATGTCGCTCCATCCCTCTTTTTCTAAATTCCTATCCCACAAATGACGACAAAAATTCCTTAAACCTTCAAAAAAACAGTTTTCCATCGTTACAATCGCAAATACTAACAATTCACCCCTCATTCCAGGGACCTGGTCTGGTGGTAATGGCGCCAGGCCGGGATCAGGGGGGAGGGGCGGCCGGCGGGGGCGCTAAGGGGCCCACGTCGCTGTTTATCCTATCCGAGGAAAACTGCATAAGGAAACACACGCGTTTTATAATCGAATGGCCGCCCTTTGAGTACGCCGTCCTTCTGACCATCATAGCCAATTGCGTTGTACTCGCCCTCGAGGAGCATCTGCCCAAATCTGACAAGACCGTACTAGCCCAGAAACTCGAATCAACGGAGATTTATTTCCTTGGAATTTTCTGCGTGGAGGCGAGCCTCAAGATCCTGGCTCTTGGATTTGTTCTACACCGTGGCTCGTACCTTCGTAACATCTGGAACATCATGGATTTTTTCGTCGTGGTGACCGGGTGAGCTCAATAACAAAACTAACTCGATTTATCGAGCATTATTGCTCGACACTGTTCAAAATTTCACCCTGAAATTTCCAATAAGTGCCTCAAGAATTGAAAGTGTTCATGAATTTTCAGGTTTTCAGTTCATTTTTCGTAACATTTCAAAAAGAGAAATATTTTTTTGGACCAAATCAGTAGCGAAGAGCTAAAACGGTTCAAGTCGATTTGACTATTGGCCAGTTTCCAGTGAATATCTCGGAATCTAAGGGAGATTGCAAAATTTTTATGGAGACCTTTTTTGTAGAGCAAAGGAAGGGCTACAACAAATGTTATTACGAAAATTTCGTTATCTTCGTTAGATTCAGAGATATTCCCGAAAAACTCAGCTGAGACCTAGATGAAATAGACTTCAATTGAATTTAATCAATGAGTTTAATCAAATAGCTACTGAAGCTTTTATTCAAGCTTAAACTTGGCTTTTATTTACGTATTTTTCATTCACATTGGATAATAAGTTTAAAAAAAATTTAAATAGAAGTTTCTTTAATCCAAATGAAGATTTTATTAGTTGAAAATAAAATACTGAATCATTTATTTTTGATTCATTAATTTCCAACAAAAAAAAATATTAAAATGAAGAGTCAATTACATCATTCCTCTAGGTGTGCAATTAAATACCCATTAATCTTGATTATGATAATATTATCGAATTTTGATATGGATATTTAGTCAATCGTCAAGTGTCACTAGAGTATTGGTGATCACCTGAATATTCAGCGACTACCTCGGCGATTATCAAATAACGAATTCCTATTTATACTTCCCAAATGGCCACAATGATAATCTGGTGATCGATTATATTGAAATTAAGATGTACACCCAGTTGATCATTAATTATCCGCATGAAGTGGAGTGTCATTAACTCACAAATTATCCAATAATGAAATGATGCAATACAAATTCGTTAAAATTCTCAATATCCAATTTCGCTTATGAAATCCCAGAGAAATTCTATATTTCCTGACTAACTACAGATGAATATTTCGTTTCTCATGAGAAATATTGGTCTGTTCGTTGATAATTTCAATAAAAACCTGATTATTACGAATCTCGGCTTGAATTTCATCATTTTTATTGGAAAATTCAGACAGAAATTTTCAACAGTGTCGCTATTTCCAATTTTTCGAGACTGGAGGCTGCAAATGATTTCACTGGAGAAATTTCATGAATGAGAATTTTTTCATATTCATAACTACGGGGGCAAAATGGGTTGTCTTGGCAACAAAACCACTTGCAGCCGACCATCTCACCAAGTTCTCGAGCAATAATTTTTTTCCTCAATCTGAATTTTTTTTCTGGACGAAATGTCCAAACTTTATATCCTGATCAGCAACCCTTGTCCTTAAAAACTCGTTCTCACTCTCCTTTTCCCTCTTTCTCATTGTGAATATTACCCTAAGAGCCCCTAATTATAATAAAAGATATAAGATGAATTCCTCTCACTTCGTATTACAATATTTCGTTTCCATTTCTGGTCAACTGCAGAATTAAATTCATCGTGAAATAATCAGAACCAGTGAAACCGAGTTACGAGATATTTCTGGATATGTCATGGACTCGAAAAGAGCCAAGAATAAATCTCCAGACAGAATCACCTGCGATCGATACAAAACTTTTATACCGGATGAAACCATTGCCCTTTTCTTAACAATTCAATTCTACTGAGTCTTATCGTTCAATTTTCCTAATCAATATTTCTTCATAGTTCTATGTTTCATGTTCATAAATACAAAGACACCAGTAAAAAATTGAATAATTTGTTTTTGTGGTAAGCAGGATGAAAAATATTCCAAAATAAACAATATTTCACAATGAATTTTTAACATACGAAGAAGAAGAGAAAAATTAAAAACAGGAATTGGACTTATTGGATTTTTGAATTTTTATAATTTGGTTTGAGATTCAATAAATTTCTCTAATGAAGAACTCTTAGGGAGTTCGAAACGTCGCCACAGAGAGAATTATTTTCATGATTTTTTCTTTTGGAGTTTTCATTTTCTTTTAAATATTCATTCAAACCGCTGTGATGGCCGTTTTCGCGGGGAAAAGTCGAGGGGATTGTGAAAATTGTGAAAATCAAGAATTTGGAAGATATTTTTCATTTTGATTTTTTAGATTTTTAGATTTTTTTAAATCGCAACATTTGATCAGGAGATATTGATGATTTAAGAAGGTCCACTTTACCTCACTTTCCCAATTAATCAACGTATTCATGCGCAATACATCAAAAACATTTAAAATTTCTCATGTTACACACGAAAAAATTTCATAGAAAAACCTACCGAATTTCATGAAAAATTCTATTAGATTCCCATTGAACATCTATTAGTTTTTGTCCGATTCAATTGAACAATTCTCCAGATTTAGCCCGCCTTCTTTAGAAAATGTCCAATAAAAACTGTTTTATTGAAAAAAAAATCAAGTTTTTTGAGTCGAATCTCTCTAGAAAATATTTGAACAGAATATGTTGTACAGAAAACCCAAATTCCATTGATGTTTTTCCTACAATTCTCTACTAAATTCCCGAAATTTTTCTATGAAATTTTTTCGTACGTGCCTTTTCGCCTATCAATTCCCTCGCGAAGCCCCCGTTTTCCCCCAAAAAAGCCGACAAAACTTGGTAAAAACCCAAATAAACCAGAGAATACTAGAATGATGCTTGGATTAGGTCGATGACTGTGTTCGCCGAAACAAATGTGGACGTCGACCTGCGTATGCTCCGTTCCTTCAGGGTCCTCAGACCGCTAAAGCTGGTATCAAAAATTCCAAGTGAGTTCCAGTTAACGCCATGGGATTCTCCCAATACTCGTCTTCGGTTCAAAGGAACATAGGATCACTAAAGAATCGAATTAGTTTAGTCCTACCTACCAACTTAAATGTCTATTATCAGAAGTAACATGTCGTTAGTCGGATTCACAAATCTTCATTGGTGAAGTTAGGTGACAACTAGTTGGAATAATCGGTGTTGTAAACCGTAGCATTTACATTATCTCAATTAACAAATAGAGAAGCCGAGTGACTAACACATTAATGTACTTGTCTATCGTTCATTGTTTAGAGTTTAAAAAATCATAGCTAGTATTGAATCTTCAATTAGTTCAGATGAGTTGGACTTGACAGCTATCAAGAGCAATGATCGATCACCCCTTATTTATCCAAGCCTTGTCTTCGCCACAAAAAAGCCATTCAACTGTCCATTAACGCGCATTCAGAAATGCAATGTAATTTTATTGGATGTAGAGACATACGATGAGACGACACGCAGATAGATAAAGCTGTTCTGGGGTCTACAATATCTATTTTTAGTCCTATCTTTAGCTGAAGCAAAACATGAATAATTGATCTGACGTCATCGCGGATACCTCATGATTCGGTGATTCTATATTCTATACGCGTGCTAAAATATTTTCCCCCACAGAATTGTCAAAGTAATGTCTTCCCTTTCCTTGAACATGAGGAGTGATCAGGGTTGGTCGAGTTTTTCATACTTTCGTCCTTATTCTTGTCATAAAGATGAATGTTGTTAAAGTTTCCTTGGGATTAGACCATCATTCACCTCGTGGCTAGCCCCCAACGAGAGGTTCAAGCTTTAGAAACGAGAGTACACGTATGAAGCGATGTACTGCCATCAGAATCTAGCTCATTAGATAGTTAATTCTCATAGTAAGTAATACTCGATAGCTGTCATCATGATTCTCCACGAAACACTGTCATCCCTAACTCTATTCTGACCTCATGCGTCACGTCATACCATAGATTCTAGTTAACTCCAGCTATTCTCCTGTCCTCAACGCTCCTCCAATCGCCCAATAGTTATAACATGTTTTTTGGTTCATAGACTTAACATTTGGTTAGAGATAACTCGCCTAGCATTAGTCAATCTAGTCATAGTCATACGTAATTTAATAGATAGAAATAACATGAACTAGTGTTATAGAGTAGTAGGTAGTAAAGTTTGGTGGGGTGGTGTGTGTTTGGGTCAGGTTCATCACGGTGTTCTCACAAGGCATTAGCCTGGACATGGATCTGCGCACGTTGCGTGCTATACGCGTGTTGCGACCGCTCAAACTTGTCTCCGGCATACCGAGTGAGTAGTGTTTCAATTATTGCCAGTGTTCAAACGATACGTTCAATCGAGCTATTCTGAATGTTAAAGAAGAGAAATGATACTTCAATTGTAGCCTGTGTGAATTAATGTGTGGAACAAGGGCAAATTTACAGTCAAAAAACGTTCAGGATGTCGGAAGACTCATTGTGAGCGTCTGAGAGAGTCTTGAGCGTTTTCTGAGTGACAGCCGGTTTCTTTTGGAAATGACGCCACGCCTTTGGATTCTGTTGACAGGTCTGCAGGTGGTGCTCAAGTCTATCATCAAGGCGATGGCACCTTTGCTACAGATTGGATTGTTGGTGCTGTTTGCTATCGTGATATTCGCCATTATCGGTCTCGAGTTTTATTCGGGAACGCTGCATAAAACGTGCTACAGTATAGAAGATATCAGTTAGTAGTTTTTTTTAGACTTCATTTCGTTTGACTTCATTTGAAGCAGATAATTTTAATGACTCAATTTTTTTTTCTTTCGCACAGCTCAACCAGTTAAAGAGGGCGATGTGCCAAGTCCGTGCAACACAGACAACAAATATGAGGCACCGATGGGTTCCCACGTATGCAATCCTAACAAATCGGTATGCCTGGATCAGTGGGAGGGACCAAACAGCGGAATCACCAGCTTTGACAACATCGGCTTCGCCATGCTCACCGTCTTCCAGTGTATCACAATGGAGGGCTGGACTGCCATATTGTACTGGGTAACGGAAAAGAGATATGTTCCTCAGTGTTAAAACCTGGCACCTCGTTGCCTCTCATACTCCTGCTATTTGCATTATTCAGATTGAGAGGACGAGGTGGCGCTGACAAGAGTGCTTCTTCTTTCGAATATTTCACTTTTTTATTTCATTTCAATTCATGGATTTTTCAATGTGTCTCTCGATGGTAACCTCTAATTGGCAATACAACGAACAAATTATCTTCTTCATTGGAATTATGTGTTCTGTCTGAGCTCCCCATTTTTGTCGCTTTATTTATCGCAATTTTGCACATTAATGTCGTGTTTGATTGGCTTCTAACTCCCTTCAACCTTTTCCGTTCTAATCTTTTCCATTAAAATTGATGTGACGTTTTTTTGTGTATCTAAGTGTGAAAATTATCAATCCCTCCGATTAGAATACTCGGTGCCTCATGGCATCGATTCCCGATGAAGCGAGACCAAAATCTCATGCCTGACGATAAAAACCAGATGAGAATTCATCACCTGGACAAATCTAACACTGATGTATATATTGACTTTGCTCAGTATGACACTGTCAGTTTCAACCCTCACTGTCTTAAATATAACCTGAAACTTCTTGAATGCCAGCTGGACGAATGCACCGAGACACTCGAGTAACGCAAACCTGCCAAAACTTTGTCACCAAACAAACTTGAAGAAAATCAGAATAGTTCATAAATGATTGTTGAATGTCCCCAACTACCATTGACATCAATGTTGTTTTTTTGTATTACTCGAGTGTGCACAATGTCACGAAAATATTTCAAAGTAATGCCTCATTGTGGTCACGATAGGAAACAACTTTTCGTGATTGCAAATGCTCTATATATTGCGTGACGATATTCAGTGTAACAAGAGAAAAACTTTTCCCTGTGTATTTGTTATCATCAGTGTAAATCGATGATGTGCCAAGGCTAAATGTTTAATCACTCTTGACTCTATTTATGATAAATTTCACAGACGAACGACGCTCTTGGCAGCTACTTCAACTGGGTATACTTTATACCATTGATCGTCCTTGGGTCCTTCTTTATGCTGAATCTAGTTCTCGGTGTTCTCAGCGGGTGAGTGCCACTCTTATTCTAACCAGTCACTGTATCTCTCTCATTCTTCAACCTTTCAACTGTCTCTCATCCTTTAAACGTTTGCATTTCTCGAGGCCTTCCCATACCGCCCCCGCCCTACCCCTTGTCCAGATGAAGACGACTCAAACGATGTACCCAGAAGAGATCCAACGACCCTCTTCAGGCGCGCGAAGCCTCGTTGACTTTGTCTACTTCCACATCGAATTTCTTTTCTTCATCTCAATTCTTCATCCTTTGTTTTATCTCTCTTCTATTTTTTGCTTTTTTACATTTTTCTGTCGTCAGGGAATTCTCTAATGAGAGAAATCGAGTCGAAAGACGCACTGCGTACAGAAAGAGAAAACATAAACTTCTGTTCACTACTGCGTTCAATGCGTATCTTACGTGGATCACACAAGCAGGTTTTTGGTTATTTATTTGTTGAGATTTTTTTGTGGAGCTGACTGGTAGCGATGTTTTGGGATGGGTAAGGCGAAGGGAAAAGGCCGAGTTGAGGGAGAATGCAGAGATTGGACGTTTGAAGGGAATTCGTTTGTGAACAGAATGAAGATCAATGTTCCGATGCAATATTTGGGATTTTGGCATGAAAAACTTTGATATGATCTTATAGAAGAATTAATAGCAGTATTGTTTTTCGTTTTTTGGGAAATTTCGGAGTCATTTATAATGTTCATGATTTTATACAGAATTTCCTTCGCCTCCAAGGAAAATCCAGGAAAAGTGTGGGATTTTTTTATTAATAAATTTGATACAACGGTATAGAAAAATAAATAGTAATATTGATTTTACAAATTTTGAGCAATTTTACGTTCATTTATAATATTCATGATTCTGTAAAATTTCATTCCATTCCGAGGTAAATCCATTTTTCGTTCTTGCTTCTTCAATTGAATTTAAAAATCCACAACTAGGCTTTTCAATTCAAATTATGAAATGGTAACATCGCTCCAATCCTCCATGGTATTATCGCCTTTCAGTATTCAACAAATGATAATTATTCGCCAGTTATGCCCGCCTTGCAGCTCCATTACGCTCAAGCGCCAGACTAATGCTGAACATTTTTTAATTTAATACAATTGTATAGAAAAATGAATAGCAGTATTAATTTTTCAAATTGTGAACTATTTCGTATCCCTTTATAATATTCATGAATTTATACAGAATATCGTTAAAATCCAAGGAAAATTGAAAAAATATTCAGATTTTTTGTAGAAAAAAATGTGACAATATTAATTTTTCACATTTTTAACAATTTCATATTCATTTATAATATTCACGATTCTGCAAAATTTCATTAAATTCCAAACTAAATGTATTTGTCGTTCTCGCTTCTTCAATTGAATTTAAAAATCCACACCTAGACTTTTCTCCGCAAAATTATGGATTGGTAACGTCGCTCCAATCCTCCATTTTATTATCAGCCTCTCACTATTCATCCAATGATAATTATTCGCTAGTTATACCCGCCCTGTAGCCCCATTACCCTCAAGCGCCAGACTAATGCTCAACATAACTACACTAATAAATGATGATTAGAGATGTAATTATCCCCCTTAACTGCTATCCTATCATATGTGTAACGCTTGTAGAGAGTTTGCAAAGGAGAGAGAGAAAGTGGAGAAACGACAGGACTTCCTGAAGAAGCGTAGACATGCACAACTCGAAAGAGAACTCTATGGTTACGTCGAGTGGATATGCAAAGCAGGTTAGATCACTAATAAGCCAGTGTCGAAGTGCAGAATATTTGTAAACAAAACAATGCTTGAGCCTCTGAAACTGCTAGGGGATTCCCCTTCCTCGAAATTTAACTTCACAAGAGTCCATCATTTTTTCAGAGGAAGTCATACTGGCGGAGGAGAGGACGTCAGAGGAGGACAAAAAGCACATAATAGAATGTAATTTCACCAGTTACAATAACATATTTTCATTTACTTCATAATAATGACATTTTCATTCCACCCGCAGCGAGGAAAAGAGCCGAGAAAGCGAAGAAAAAAAAATTGAAAAATCTCGGAAAGAGCAAAAGCACTGACACTGAGGAGGAGGATGAGGACGATCCGGACGATGGTGAGTTGTATTTTTCCCTCGTTCAAATGAATACAGAGGTTTAGGTGAAATTTACAAGCATCAGAAATCAGTTTTATCGAATCGGCAGGGATTGTGAACTTCATAATCCTCTTTTCAGTATTTATGAGGGTTATAAATAAGATACAAAAGGCGTTAAACGGAATTGAGTAATATATCGGGTTAGGAGGGTACTTTGTACCTCAACTGAATTCCTCATTTATGAGTATTATTGTTGACTATTGGTATTGAAGATTTAGAGAGAGTGGGGGGCACTCTAACTTTGATAAATGAATATTCTAAACACACGCTATCAGATGCTCCTCTTGTTTCAGAGCCTAAGAAAAAACTGAAAGGTAACTACTATAATCAGGAATGCCAATTCTTACACGTTAATTCGTAAAAAGTAATATGGCTACATGATGGTTATTATTCTATTACCGTAAATTATTGTGGTATTTTGAGTTTATGTATAATCGTTGGAGTAACAATATTGACATGATAATATTTAACTTAATATTGCGTAATTGTTATTACTGCTATAAATTGTGTGAAGCGAATGACGCTGGTGATAATGAGAGAATAACATAAATGCCTTTGAGAGGGGTAACTAAACATATAGCATATCGTAGATAGATATAATATACTTTATTTTCTTTATTCAGAATCAATAAATAACAATAGAATGCATCAATGCCTATGGAATAAAATGAAATAAGAAACGTACATAATTTTTCTTGATTTTTCAATATCAAGTGCACGAAAAATCGTGCGGAAAAAATCATACTTCATTTTTTGCAATTAATTAGATCTATAGGCCTTCATTGCATCTCTCAATGAAAGAAACTACTCATCCAAAACATTACAGAAGGGTTAATTTTTTTCTTCAATAGGTATTGCTTCTGTTCTGCTGGTACAAAAACTCATTGAATTTCAGTCGTGGACAAAATACTGGTGGCTGGAATTCCCATAAAACTGGCATTTAACGTCAAAACTATAAAAAAAACTGTTATCCGGTCTTTTTCTGGTCACCACATTTTGTATCCACCAGTAAAATTTTATGGTTCACGAATGATGGTTGGAAAATCTTTCACGAACACAGCGCTGATTAATGTTTTAGCTGAGATTGAAAAAAAAGAGGAAAATATGTCTAGCACAAACACTAGTTAATGACTTTTGGTAGTGAATTAGAATTGTCGAGAGATTGATTTATTAATGTAGAAGACAAGTTTATAATACTTGATAGTTTCATTTCCCCATTAGTCTTCATCTGGAGGATTACTGTTGCCAAACGAGATGGGATTTTATTCATTAATATTAGTTGATTGAATTTCCTTGGTTTATTTATATTATTTTGTAAGTGGTCGTGCTTAGTAGCATATTGAGGTAATGAAACCATAGATTAGTGTCAGTGATACGATATAACTTGATAGAATAAACAAGACAAATAATACTACTAAATATAATGCTCATGCCATTAGTGTTGGATATATTAAAGATAAAATTTCAATGAGATGAATGAAGATGGTTGAGTGAAGGAGGTGAATGCAACGTTAATTTGTTAGACCCTGATCAGAGTCACTTGTTGATGATGGAACCTCTTAATTCTTCATGATGATCCATTAAAGTCCATCTGTTAACTCCCCATCAGGTTTTACGGGCGTTAGTCAGACAGATTTACATGACTAGTTGCATTCAACCAGATGTTAATCACAAATCCATAGAGTGCAGAAGTAATTTCAATAGAACGTAAACATTTTTATGAAAATATTCTGTTAAAAATGAAGTAAAAACTATGATGACTTGTCTTAAAAACATATCAAGATATGAATCTCAGCAAAATATGAAATACTGGCATGTGAATGGGGGAGTGATGTTAAAGTATGGGATTTTCTAGGGTTCTCGAGATCTTCGTACCTCAGATCAGTGAAGGACGACGGCGCCTGTAAAAATTTCTGGAAAATTGAGAAACAAACTAGGATTTGGATACGAAAAAAAATTAAAAGCCAATCGTTCTACTGGTTCGTCATCGTCCTTGTGTTCCTCAATACAGTCTGCGTTGCCGTTGAACACTACAATCAACCACAGTGGCTTAGTGATTTTCTCTGTAAGTTTATCAATGTTCTGAATACACATTTCCAACAAAATCCGTTTGATCTACATGGAAAAGCTAATTGCATTCATTGAGTATTTTTAATTTTCCGTGAATATTTTATCAGAATTAATCAACCAGTTCGTTCAGAATAAATATTACTGATAAATGGAGTTATCTCCACCGGTTCATCTTCACTCTCAATAACTGAATATTGAAACTGGACAAATGAAATTTTGATAAAAGTTGAAAAATTCTGCAATACAATATTCGAAGTTAATTGCAAATGAAAAATGATTTAATCAATTCAATTGGAGTGGAATTACAAAGTTGATTAAAATTTAAAAAAATTTTTTCAGTTTACACCGAGTTTGTATTTCTGGGGCTCTTCATGTGCGAAATGTTCGTTAAAATGTATGCCCTCGGGCCACGCAAATACTTCAGTTCAAGTTTCAACAGATTCGATTGCGTCGTTATCCTGGGCTCGATATTCGAGGTGATATGGTCGGCTGTTAAATCCGGCTCATTCGGTCTATCCGTCCTGCGTGCCCTGCGTTTACTGAGAATATTCAAAGTAACCAAGTACTGGGCGAGCCTGAGGAATCTCGTAATATCACTGTTAAACTCAATGCGCAGCATCATTTCACTTTTGTTCCTTCTCTTCCTCTTCATACTCATATTCGCTCTACTTGGTATGCAACTCTTCGGTGGACAATTCAACTTTCCATCGGGCACACCACCAACCAACTTCAATACCTTTCCCATTGCGCTGTTAACTGTCTTCCAAGTGAGTGGAATTTAATTTTCGATTCGGTTGACATTGTGGAAGAGGGGAAGATATGTCTTGTGGGCTTCCTCTTTGATTAATGTAGTTGTTCTGTGATTGATACACTGGAGAAAAATTGAAATTTCATGGACTGGTGACTAGTAACATTACGGATAGTAGCATTAGTTCTATCTAGAGGGAAAAAATAATGAAATTCGAAATTTATGAGCAGCAGGAAGATGAAAATTCGTTAAATCCCTTGACTTTTCAATTAATTGAAAAATCAAGAATACGTTCACCTGCATTTTGCTGATTTCCATCCATTTTTATGGATTAGCAGAACTGAAATTTAGAGTTGCCATTTCAATCAAATCTTAGAAGAAACAAAAATTTTATCATTAAGTATATCAAGTGGATAGCCATGTGTGTAAAGGCAAAGAATGGAAACCCAAAGGTCGTGGGTTCAAACCCCACCTCCTGATTTTTCCAAGTTTCCCAAATTGATTGGTATAATGCACATTTCGATCAACAAAAGAAATCTCATCACTAAGTTTTCCTGGTAAAGACATTCTTGGAAGTTCTGGTAAAAATTCTATCATTGCCGGCAATTGATGGCAACATTAATTACTAAATAAACTTTTCGCAGATCCTAACGGGTGAGGACTGGAACGAGGTGATGTACCAAGGAATCGAGTCACAGGGTGGACACAAGGGCGGTGGCATGATATATTCATCATACTTCATCGTTCTCGTACTGTTTGGTAACTACACACTGCTAAACGTCTTCTTGGCTATCGCTGTTGATAATTTAGCGAATGCCCAAGAGCTGACAGCAGCTGAGGAGAATGAAGAGGCGGAGGGTAAGGAGAAACAACAACTAGAAATCGACAAAGAATTAGAGTCGTTACGCATGCCAGGTGCGGCTTCAGCACCAAAAGTTGAGATATCACCGCCAAGTCCTTCAGCAAATTTGTGAGTTATATTTGTGGCGTGAAATAGTATCGAAATGTTCGGGGTATCTGGACGTTAATTGGGATGATTTTATTGGTGTGACAGAGGTAAAACTGGAAAACAGGCGTCCGAAGAGAAGAAACAGGAGGATGACGATGACACGGGACCAAAACCAATGCTGCCATACTCCTCCATGTTTATATTATCTCCGACAAACCCGTGAGTTGATTATTCACATTTTTACATTTTTCAAAGTCATTCAAGCAATTGAGGTAATCAATATTAAAAGAAGTCCAACAAATTTTAATTGCCTGTTTAAGGTCATGTGAAAATAAAATTGCTTGAGTCAAGTCATAAAATCATACACTGTTGGCAATTGAAATTGAAATGGACACTTGAGGAGTAAATTTAGTCGAAGTGGCATCAAATTCAATTTTGGTTAAAAGTCATTAAATTTCTGATCACATTCAAAAATAGTTCCAGTCAATTTCGACTATTCGATAGTTTTCAATAAATATCTTGGAATTTAAGGGAGATAGTCGTTACGAAAATTTCGCTATCTCCCTTAGATTCGGAGATATTCCTCAAAAATTCAGAATTCCTTAACTCACTTCAATCTGTCGGATTCCTATCAATTTTCATCGAACAATTAAATTACGTGATAAAAATTTTCAACAGTGTATGCAAAACAAAAAATGGACGAATACTAATTGTCTTTACATTTTAATCTGTCCCAAACAGTGTAAGAAGAGGGGCCCATTGGGTGGTTAACCTGAGATATTTCGATTTTTTCATAATGGTTGTAATATCTCTATCGAGTATAGCCCTTGCAACTGAAGATCCAGTAGACGAGCACTCCAAAAGAAATACAGTATTGAATTATTTCGATTACGCGTTCACTGGTGTATTTGCGATAGAGATGATTCTCAAGGTCATTGATCTTGGAATCATGCTCCATCCCGGCTCGTACTTGCGCGAGTTCTGGAATATAATGGATGCCGTTGTCGTCATATGTGCTGTTGTATCAATGGGCTTTGAAGTGGGTGGTGGATCTGCTGGACATTTATCAACAATTAAATCACTTCGCGTACTGCGTGTACTTAGACCATTGAAAACTATAAAACGTGTGCCTAAATTAAAGGCAGTGTTTGATTGTGTCGTTAACAGTTTAAAGAATGTCATCAATATTCTCATCGTGTATATATTGTTTCAATTTATCTTCGCTGTCATAGCGGTACAATTGTTCAATGGTAAATTTTTCTATTGCAACGATGCGAGCAAAAGAACTCAAGCGGATTGCCAGTGAGTGAATTATTATTTTATTATTCATGATTTATCAAGCAAAAGACATTTCAACAACGAAATTTCGCGCATTTTCTTTTATCTTTGACAGAGGGCATTCATTTGCAAATGAATACACTTGATTAAATTCTAAATTCTGGATGGAGAGTATTATTCATGAATTTCATAATTGAAATGTCGTTAATTGATAGGTCACGAATTGATTTTTGTTTCGATAGTCTCAATTCCATTTCGTACATGATCATAAATGTCTTATGAATATATTCCCAGTGGTGAGTATTTCATCTTTGAGGAGGACCAAATACTGCCAACACCCATGAAACGTAAATGGCAGCCACAGAGCTTTCATTATGATAACGTTATGGCTGCCATGCTGACGTTATTCGCTGTACAAACTGGTGAGGGTTGGCCACAAATTTTACAACACTCGATGGCAGCAACTCACGAGAATGAGGGTCCCATTCACAATTTTCGAATAGAAATGTCCTTATTTTACATCGTATACTTCATCGTCTTTCCATTCTTCTTTGTAAACATATTCGTCGCCTTGATCATCATCACATTTCAAGAGCAAGGCGAGGCGGAACTGCAGGACGGTGAAATTGAAAAGAACCAGGTAATTTCATTCGCACTTGAGTGTATCAAATAAAATAATTAATGGATGATTAACATTGATAAATTTAACTTCCAGAAATCCTGTATAGACTTTACGATAGGTGCTAGACCTCTGGAGAGGTACATGCCGAACAAAAGAAATAGCTTAAAGTACAAAATATGGAGGATAGTAGTGTCAACGCCGTTCGAGTACTTTATCATGATTCTCATCGTTTTAAATACACTTTTACTCATGATGAAGGTAAGCATTCAATACCAATAATTAATCTACAGTTACTAATCATAATCTCAATAGTGCCCTGACGAGTTAAGATGACAGACGATAATGTTTTTCTCTCAGCCCAAGAAGTGTGAATAATCGAAAAGAGAAAACATGAGTTGCATATCAGAGAGTCATTGAAACACTCTTTCTTTCTGGTTATGTTTAACTTTGAATTCCATGCAAATTACTTTGATTTTCTATAATCACTGTTTATCCAGGCCCATTCTCTCTCAATACATCACAGTTACCACATCTCCCTCTCTGGCAATTTTAACCAATCCATTAAGTAGTCACAATTCCATCATTGTCGTGGTTTAGTGCCTCATGCTCGGGGTTATTCGGTTGAGGTGAAAATTCATTCATAAGTATTAATTTTTTTTTTCACTCATTAGTACGAAGAAAGTGGTTGTATTTGCCTGCATATTCACTTGTTTTTCTGTTTAACTGTCGTCCCAACGTTTCTGTCGCTGTCGAATACACATAACAATACAATTGTTAATCCTCAAATTAACCCATCAAAGATCCCTTGTCATCATCAAAAAAATGATACGTTTCATTTTCATCGTTTAAAGTATCAAGTCGCGTTGATGAGATTCTCATTAAATTCAATAAATCTCCTCTTGTCATAACAGATACAAATGGTTTATCATCAAACGTCCATCATACTGATGATGGTAACGTGCGAACAATATGCGAAGCTTCTCGCTGATTATCATTTATTTCATTGTTTTGTAGAGAACATACTTCATTTATGATTCTTTTGGTCATTATTATAGAATCATCGTCCTTCCGTCACTCCTAGTTACTCTGTCTCTATTTCATCCGAATGCATGGCTCGCATCGTGTCCCCATGTGTTTTAAAACAAAAATCGAGATAATTTATTTTCAACATTAAAGAGACAAAATTTTTTGATATTCTGCACAAAATGACCACAACCCATTATTTAACTGGGTGGGAGCATCTGCACAGTTCGTTTTCGTTTCCATCGTGGAAGTGAAAAAATACTAAAGCTCCTGGTCAATTACTCGTTTCATTGATTTCAATTTTATTTGAAAAAATCGAGTTCAGTACGATTATTATTCTCCGTTAGCCGTAAATCGAATGGTGAATTTTATTTGCTTGATTTATTCGGTGAAGATTGATATTTCTGTTCTGTAAGAGCACATGCACACGCACTACCGATAATGTTAATCAGCACAAGTATTTTTTTTCATTAATTGGATTGGGATTAAGGCACGTGACGAAATTTTTCATTCGTGAGATTAAAACAACGAGACGGAGTGCCCTTGGTACGTGCTGTTGAAAAATTGTTTCTGTGGAAATTACAGCTTTGGCAATGCTCGCTTTTACAGATTGAAACTACAGATACATTACACTGAAACACTTTTTGCGATCATATAGAGATGTTGGAATTTTCGGGCTGGACTTTTGAATGAGAGACCTTTAAATTACAATTGAATTTTTGGATTGAGAAGGTTTTACTGAGAACCATAAACCCATTCAGTAGCAAAGCGGTAGGTTTTGAAGAATATCTCAGAATCTGAGAGAGATAGCGAAATTTTCGTAATGACCTTTTTGTAGATTGTATTAAGGGCTTCAAAACGTCATGACAAAAATTTTCCTATCTCCCTTAGATTTCAAGATATTGAAAACTGACCAATAGTCAAAATCGATGTAAACCGTTCTACCGCTTCGCTGTTGAATTATAACTAAATGACGCTTGGAAATTTTGAAAAGATGCCTGGTTTCTGTTGAAATTAGACTATTCAATATTCATGCTGCAATCAGACTAGTAAATTTCTGCCCTGAACTCGAGATATTGAATATTCATTCTAAATGCAGGTTGCTATATATTCAGCCTGAGTAGTTACCGTCCCTCGAAAATTCATTTTCACTTGAAAATTATTTTCCAGAAACTTCTCCCAGATTTCCAGAGACTTTCAAAAATACCAATCAAAAATTTCCAACGCCGAATTCAGTAGCGAAGCGGTAAAACGGTTAACGTCGGTTTAGGCCTCAGCTGAGTTTTGAGGGATACCTCCCAATCTAAGGGAGATACCGAAATTTCTGCCTCCCTCAGGTTCCGAGATATTCATTGAAAACTGGCCAATGGTCAAGTCTTGCCGCGTTTTACCGCTCCACCACTGAATTCTCAACAACAAAACAACATGCTTGTGAATGATTGAACCAGCACGTTGCAAGTTCTCAATGACCCGTCACGTTGTTTTCACGCACTCAAATTTGTCTCAATCACTCCAATTATGATATCTCCCCCAAGGAGAACCATAAAAATACACAGAACTGCGTGTTGCATGCTGGCTGCTGCAGATAACGAATAAACAAAAAAATCCATAGTCAAACCGAAACACCAACACTGAGATAATATTGTTACATTTCATTGAATGTTCAACAAATTCTATTGTTTTGCACTGGGCGTTCGCACGACAATACCATAAACAAAAGATATAATAATGATAATAATGATTTTCCTCATCACGATATCCCATTTATTTAGACATCAGAAAACTCGATGGATTCTGATGATATACATAACTGGTAATGATAAAACAAAGACCAAAACTCAATCCCTCCACATTAATCCTTCTTCTCCGCTTCAGATTCGTCTCTAATTTATCACCAAAATGACTCTCTATTACTTACAATCCTCCTGATGAGTTCCGAGTACTTCTTCTCGATTATAATCGACGATCCATGACCCTGAGAATTCATTGAGTAGTTATTGAGAGATAAATAGCATCGAGGAGAAAGCTTCATTTTGTCTGAAAACAGTGTGACACTGTGAAACAGTTATTTAGTTTTTTTTTTCACCGCCAATTGAATTATTAGAAATTGTATTGGCAGTAATTAGTACATATGGTCATTAAACCAATTAGTGACATCGTTGTACGCATCGTTGCATAGCAACGGGGCGATCAGGGAACTCAGAATCTCTGAATATTCAATTCCACGAAGATATTCAATTTTGATTAGATTCTAGCGCTGAGGATGTCATGGGTATCACTGGAATTGAGAGTTTTTATTGCTTGCAGAAGAAAATTTCTCTTTTTTATGGATGCGAAGCAATCGAGGATGTCTATCAGAATTCTTTTCAGAAGTTCGGAGAAGTTGCATAAAAAAACGTCAAAAGATGAATCACCATGTACTGAAAATTTAAATTCAATTTTCTCGAACATTCCTTGAACTCATCAAGTGAAACCCCCACGACATCCTCAAATATTTGCCATAACTAGTACAAACGACGACAGCACTGAAGCTCCAGAGATACAATAGCAGTCCACAAGAGATGAATTTAAAAAGACTACCACAACACAATTAGCACAGACACACAACACCCATTAGCCGTTAATTAAAGGGATAATTAACCTACTTAATTATACATTTGAATAAATTGACGACACATATGTACACACACAGCCGCACGTAAACAAACCACAACTAGTTGTATTGTTGATGGATAAAGAAAAGACAATCCCGGATGCGTCGAATGATGAAAAGTAAATAATCAAACTTGAGTGAAAACAAAATTCAGACAGACATGTAGGCTTGTATGTCCATATGTATGTTCGCTGTCGGCCGTGTGTTTGTCAGTGTGTGCGTTGCAGTACCACCGGCAGAGCGAGCTGTACAAATCCATATTGAAGAACATGAACATAGGCTTCACCGGGATGTTCACCATCGAATGCATACTGAAGATCGCCGCTTTCGGCGTCAAGGTAGGCTCCATCCCCCTCACGAAAAAACCATTCGAAGTAAAATAAACAGAATAAAAACTTCCATTCGGAAGCAAAAGTCAGTAAAAATAAAAAAAAGAGTATGACAGAAAAATTGCCAGAGTGCAGTAGAAAAAGTATCTTTGGATTTCTCCAAAACATGAATACATAATTCATTCAATGACGAATGAATTATGTACCTTTGCCGCATTATTGTACGTTCCATTCATGGACAAATGCAAAGATAACTGTCTTTTCGACTCAAATGAACTGGTAAGTCTCGCTTATTAGAAAACTTCTAGAGCCTTGATTTATGAACAGAATAATAAAGTATCGCTGAATGATGAAATTATTCTCAAATCCGCACGGATACCGTCTATCCAAAATTGAAGAAAGAAAAACATTGAGATAATTGAACAAGAATACGAAAATCATTGACACTGAAACGGTATCTGATGCAACTGAACGTCAAGTTCAAGGACCTCAGTATGCTGATGTGAAAATATGGGACACGAATTTTATACTCTGAGTATGCAATCGAAGGACTAAGCTGTGATCGTTAATAAACAAGTTTATTGAAAAATTTGACTCACTGGCCCTTCGATTGCGGAAGACTGGACAAAACGACAGGAGTTAACACAGAACAGAAGCTACAGACACAAATAAACAACGACTCGACAATTAAACTCATAAACCACATGATAGCAACACATTTCTAGAACGAAAATAATACAAAAGAATTATGTTTATTTACCTCTTTTACCTCTCTTCAGCTATCTGCCTCTTCTCTCTGTTGCCTCAATCTTTTTTCAACTATCTGCTACCTCTATATTTTATCTCACTCGATAGATGAAACTCAACAGCAATATGATAAGACTCAAGAAAATCTAGATGATCTGTTTAAACCGTGTGATGAAAGGATTAAAATTAATGGAAAAAAAATTGCCATAAAACAAGTATTCACGCCCCTGCATGTTGTTATGCCTTGAGATGAGCATCTGCACGCTAATCACTTGCACGTACCTGATGACACCGTCTTCTGGGTCCTCGCATGATTATATTTTCGTGAATATATCGAACACAACTAGATTGACATGCGTTGATGGCCTGATAACAGTTGATAAAGTATGACTGATTCAGTGGTATTTATTCGTCAACAATTGGTATGACCGGTTTCTCTGTTGATTTCTTCTCCCGCATGCGTCAAAATTCACCAGCTGACATGATTATTCGTGAACGATTGATCAAATTGTGCATCCCTGTGACGGATTGTTATTTTTACAATATACTCTTTCGAAAAAAAAATCTCCTTTCCCTCCGTCTGTCAATAGAGAAGAATCCACATGTGATTAACTGCCATTACTGTTCTTCTTTCATGTATTTTAATTTCACTTGACAACTATCTCCTCAATCCTCGAGAGATTGGTTAGACTTGCATTGTTAGACGCGCTAGGCGGCGATTCCCTTTCTAACATGTTGCCTAGTCTCTCTTGATCATCAGTCATAGGATTCAATCGTGACTTGTTGATGACGAGATCGATTCATTCAACTTTGGATGACAATTTCGAGTTGATTCATCTCGTCCCAACATTTACCTCCGAATTATTTTTTTCATACATTTTTTTTTGTCAACTCGACAAACGGGTGCAATCATTCGTAAAGTGCACGGGCTCAGAGAGGGAAACAGGGCAAATGTAAAATTGTAAAAGATAAAAAAACATCAACAAAAGAAGCGTTACAGAGAATTTGAGTATCCTACGGCTGTGTTGGCTATATTTTGTAGTATCACGAGGCGCCGGCGAATCTATTGGATGCCTTGAGCTACGTGAACATGGTTGTCACCCTACTTTTCCTCATTGAGTGCATCCTTAAAGTCATCGCATTCGGATGCAAGGTACAACAAAATAAATTAAAGAAAAAAACAACAAACGATGTAACGAAAGATAAAATCTACTCACTATTCACTCTATATTTACACTTAAAAAGAGATTGAAGAATAATTATTAGAATTGAATGGAAAAATGCGAAGAGAATCGATGTAGAGTTCACAGTAACTTGATGAAAATGTCAAAATAATTGGAATAGAGGATAAAAATAGGCGAACAACACCGACAAGTCCTTGATAATCGTCCACTTGTCACTTTACCTCACTTATATCTTTAGACCTTTATACATGTATCTCTACATGAAGCATTTTTTTAAATTAAAAAAACAAATAAGCGAATACATCATTTCTACTAGCTGCTTGCTATCACCGGCATGTTCCTGTAGATCTTTAGACAGATCCTGTTACTTTGCAACAGTCTAGTGTTTATTTTTCCAAATAATTGAATATCAGTTTTACCAAGAAAATTATATAATCGATATTTCAATTTAATGACTGACCTCAATCTAGGACACACGAATAATACCGTTAGGTGAAGCACTGAGAGTTCAATTATTGAAGATGATTAATCACATCACATGATCGGGATTATTTTATGAAAATACTTCCTACTGAAGTTGTAACAGATATTATTGTCCATGTAAGCACACTGGAGTCACACATGCACACAGATAAATCAATCATTATTGATTATTGATAAGAGCACACTCAGCACAGAAGTTAACATGAAGCCGCATACCGGCCATGCTGGCAATTTGTGATTTTCTTTTTTTTTCGAGTTGGATTTTTTATTTATTTTTGCAGAGCTAGAGGTAGAGTGCATTTGTTGTCTTTTTAGGTGACTCTGAAGGGGAATGAAACTTCTCTCTCGGCATAATTGACACTATGTGTTTATTAAGGATATACAAGAGTCTTGTACATTTGCAATCATCAAATTTGAGAATTGAATTTTTTGAAAAAGAATTGAAAAAAATAATTACATTCGTATAGAATAATAATTTGCAATTTGTAAATTAATTCATCAATCTTCCAGAAATAAACTTTCCAATTTTTTCGGATTTAAAAAATGTTTTCTAATTGTTTAATATCAAGATTAAAATGTCCAGAAACTTAGGGTTAAATGGGCTGAAATGAGAGCTCTGATGTTCGACTGCAAAAATAGAAAAACATTTAACTGAAAAAATAGCCAAAGTACTTGGATATCCTTAATTGCTGAGTTTAGATGGAATAGTTGAATAAAGGAATGGAGAAAGAAGTTTTAATTAGTACTCAGAGTCACCTCGAAATTATAATTGAACTAGGACTGATTTATTTAATGTTTGAAATGGGCCAGAATTTCTTCAAAGACCCGTGGAACACATTCGACTTCATCACGGTCATCGGTAGCATCGTGGACGCACTTGTAGTCGAATTCGGGGTACGTAAAACATGAAGGATAAGCATGAATTTTCTAGATTCAACAGCGAAGTGAAGCGTTTCATTTTAATGTGAGCATTAGAGACAATTGCGCGACGAATTCAATGAGTCGTGGAAAATTCTGCATCTTCGCTGTTGAATTATTCCATCTTCTGTTGAAATTCCGTAAATATGTTATTGATAGCTTCGTTCTTGCATCGTATCAGTGAATAATCATTGATTGGATAATGGAGCGTGACAGTTTAATGGGCCGATTTATTCCTGATGAGACGCAGGCGCGAAGTCTAATTGTTTGATTGTCGATGGGATAACAATTTTGTTTGTTTTAAAGTGTAATTTCTTATGTCCCCTACAGGAGAACTTCATCAACGTCGGGTGTTTGAGGCTATTTCGCGCTGCCAGACTGATCAAATTACTCAGACAAGGGTATACTATACGAATTCTATTATGGACATTCGTGCAATCATTTAAGGTAATTATTCAATTTGGAAATCGTATGTCGGGGAATATTGTTGAGGAAAAATTGAACTTTCAGGGACAGTCGAATAGTAATTTTTAGGAGAGTGACATTGAATTCGATTTACAGAAAAAAATTATAAAATTTCAGATTTCACTGAAAATTCAATGAAATATTAAACTTTTGAGTAGCAGGAAAGCGAGAATTCCCCAACTACTTGAATGTTCAAGCCAAAAATGAATATTCAGTACCAAATTATGTTTCTTGAATTTCCCTTCCTCCCCAAAATTGTAATTAATTAATTAATAAAAATTAATTAATAACATCGCAATTAATCTCAGTAAAAAAATTTCACCAGTGAATTTCCCTGACAACTAAGTTCATTTCCCTTTGCCTTCCAGGCGCTACCCTACGTCTGTCTCCTCATCGCCATCCTTTTCTTCATCTACGCAATAATCGGCATGCAGGTAATTATCTCTCCCCTCCCCCCAAAAAACCAAAACATTACACTGAAACACAATCAAGACCGTAAAAATGACAATACACTAATATTTGTTTTTATGTTCCAATGCAACCTTCATTATCACATCGTTTCATTTCAATAATCAGATGTTCGGAACCATTAAAAATAAACCATCAGAGGCAATAGAAAGTCACAACAATTTTCAGACTTTCATCGGAAGTTTGATGTTGCTATTTCGGTGAGTCGAGCAGCTTGAAAGAACCTTAATAAATGTTGATAACGCTCCAGAGCAAGCTGCTCGGCAATATAAAACCTCCCCCAGCGCTGTAGTATACCGCTAAACTAACAGAATAACATTCTAAAAATGTACTTTGCTAAATGTCTTGGATCCTTGCTTTGATGCTTTTGATAGGTTTTTGGGAACATCGCACTGGACCCAGAAACATCAATCTACGAGCACAACAATTTCCAGAGTTTCATACAAGGTCTGATGTTGCTGTTTCGGTGAGTGACTGATCCTCCGATGATGCGTCCCATTCCCACTCCCAATAATGCTTGGCTGGTGTTTATTATGTCGACATTCATTGTCAATTATTAAGCTGAAACTGCCAGAATATTCGTCAGCGGAAAATTCAATTTAGGGGTTATTTAAGTGTAGGAGAGTCAAATAATCATATGTACAAATGTTTTTCAAGTGCGAAAACGGTTTGTGGTTACTTAAAAACATTTGTACACCCCTAGATTCGCTTAAGACAAATCTTCTGCTGTCGAATCTTTCGCTAGTTTCGGCTTCATTCGTCAACTCAATGTTCTAATCAACACCTCTGGGGGAAATCCATCTTTCAGGTGCGCAACGGGCGAAGCATGGCCGAGCATAATGCTGTCTTGTATAAAAGGTCGTACCTGTGATCCTAAAGCGAAACAAGATGCCGATGGATGCGGCTCAAATCTAGCATACGCCTACTTCGTCTCGTTTATATTTTTCTGCTCATTTCTCATGCTTAATCTGTTCGTTGCTGTCATCATGGACAATTTTGACTACCTCACACGTGACTCATCGATACTTGGGGCTCATCATCTCGATGAGTTTGTTAGGATATGGGCGGAGTATGATCCCAATGCCACTGGGAAGATACATTTTACGGAGATGTATGATATGCTGAAGAATATGGATCCACCACTTGGATTTGGTAACAAGTGCCCCAACAGACTTGCTTATAAGAAACTCATTAGGATGAATATGCCGGTCGATGAGGATGGCAAGGTCGCTTTTACAACGACATTCTTTGCGTTGATCAGAGAAAATCTCAATATTAAAATGCGACCGGGTATGTTTGGGTTGTAGTTGATTTTGGGGGAATGTATCGAGAGAAATCTGTAGCGAGGTGGCAAAACATTTCGAGTTGATTTTGATTATTGACCAGTTTTCAATGAATAGAAATCTAAGGGAGACAGCAAAATTCTTGTCATGACAGGAAAATCTTTGACTGAGATATATAGCTGCGCTTCACAGATTAGATTAGATTCGCTACTGAAATGTTTTGTAGAAAATCTTTAGCTACAAAAAAGGTCTCTCGATATTCCACGAAATCAGTGGTTTCACAGATAAATGGGATGAATATATTGTTCTCAATTGTTGTTATTTCTATGCTACAGCGGATGAAATGGATCGAGCTGACGAAGAACTGCGGGACACAGTGAGGGCCATCTGGCCTCTCCAAGCGAAAAAGATGTTGGACCTTTTGATACCTAGGAAAGAAGGTAAATATAAAAATTCCCTCATCGCACGATCCGGGGGATTTTATGGAGGACTAATCGAGAGATTTTTTCAGAATTGAACAAAGGAAAGTTAACGGTCGGTAAGATATACGCTGGCTTCCTGATCCTCGAGAACTGGAGGACAACGAAATTCGGTCAGATTGAATCGACTGATCCTCAGGTGAGTCAGCCCAACCGAAATGCTAAACTACTGTTCAAAACGCAATCGTTCATATATTTATAAAAACAATAATCATTGTTAAAGTCACGGGCCTCATAAGAGAATTATCAATAAGTTTTCAGATGAGTCATTTGTGATTTGAGATCATTCTCGTCATGTTTCATTCCTTCTTTAGGGATTTAGTGTACTCAATCAATCAGAAAATTCTGGTGAATCTTTTGTTGTCACAATGAGCTTTACAATTTAAGCTACAATTAGAATATCGATAGATCGCTCAACATAAAAAAAAACAATTCTATTGAATTTCCAAATGAATAAAAGATTTCATGGACGATTTGATCTTGAATTAAGTATATCCAAGTACTTTGGCTATTTGTTCTCCAGTGAAATACTTTTCTACTTTTGTAGTCGAACATCGAAGCTTTCATTTCAGCCCCATTCGACCCTCAGATTCCGGACATTTTACAATGATTCTATTATTTAAAGTTTGCAGGACTGATTTTCAATGTCTGAAAAAAAATTAGAATGTCAACTTTTGGAGAAAAATTGATGATAAAATTAAAAAATTTCAATTTTTGAAAATTACTTGCATTTTCTATAAATAATTTATAAACAACGAATGTTTGAAAAAATAATAATGCTGTGTAAAGTGTAATTTGAATGTCGCTGAATATTCATGATTTTTTCAAATTGTTACCACGCAATTTAATTGACAAATTTGATGATTGAAAATGGTTCAACTATGGTGTGGCCTGAACCAAACTAAAGTAAAAGGTACTTAGATATCCTTAAATTCAAATTCATAACATTGAAAATTCATATGCAACTCTTACTTGAATTTTTTTTAAATGATAAAAATATGAGAAGTATGAAAATAATTTTCCGTTCAACGAATTAACCAATTACTTCTGAATGAAACATGACGTGAAAAAATCGAATGAATGTTGTTGGCTTCTTCATCGTAGGAATTGATCGCTGATGCGAGGATAATCATTGAAATTAGCGATGTGAGTCATCCCAGTAGTGTCTAGTCACCCAATCCCCCAATTAATTCTCAACAAAACGAACAATAAAAACCGCAGTTGCATTAGCAACTGTTTTCACATCAAATTACTATTGAGAGTTAATTAGCATCCTGATTCCTCGTCCCAAAATGTTACTCACTGATGTGCTGAATATATCGTAGTGCTAAAGAGTCATTCGATAGTAGGTCGAAGGAGAGGAGAATCATGTTGTCATCGATATTTCATTCAATGTCATTCCCTCCATCCCTTGAATGAGAGATACATCTGTTCATAAGTGAAAAATCAGTGGTTTCGTTACGGAAATCATTAGTCGTTCATTCGATATTTCATGATGGAGAACGACTAGTCGATTATTTTTACAAATTGCACTGAGAGAAAAAATTAGCTCAGCCGAAAATTTGATGGGACAGATTTACTTCAGGAAAATTAACCACATTTTGGTCGTGATCATCAGAAATATCCCTAGAAGAATTCGAACTGTTGGGAGGAAAAAATATAATCTATTGTACGACAATCATTTGATCTGAGAGAACTCCACAGGTTTATACCACAGAAACAACACATTGACGAGGAAAGAATATTTTTTTCTCAAAAAAATTGTCCCCTCGAAATTATTTAGTTTTGCCAATAACACAATTTTCGGCAAGAAAGATATACACTACTCAATAACATTCACTTGATAAAACCGGAGCCTCATATAATTCTCTGTAGAACGGATGTATTTACCCGAATGACATAAATGTCTCACGAGAACAATTACTACTACGAAAATTATCATATTTGGGTGGAAACTTTCGTTTTGTCGACAAGTAAATTGATTCAACACGACAAAAGATCTCAGGGGAACCTATAATTTTCCGGCAGAACTAATTCTTTCTCTCAGTTCATCTCAATGTGAGATTGACCGTGTATTATAGTAAACGTCGATCTCTCGTCATTGAAAAAAACGTGAATTTTATGTGCACAAATTTTTGGAAATTCAAGTGTGTCATTTTTTAGGAACAAAATGGAAATGTTATCGAATAATTATTCAGTGCATCACGTTTTTTCATTCATTTTTATTAATCACATTAATTCAGTAGAATAGGAAAAAATCGTGAGACGTCGAGTTACATAGCTAGGAAAATGTGGGTTGTGAATGATTAATATACAATAGAAAATGTGTGTTGAGTGTTGCCCGTTATTTTTTCACCTCCGCGAGACGGAAGTACGAGACTACTTAATGTGTATCAAAGTAAAGAAACGATATGACATATGAACTATTTGTCTAGATAGACTAGGAGAACTTAGGCCATAGTTGGAGTCTTAAGTATAATTAAGGCAAATTGAAAAGATCATGTGAAACATTGAAGCCCAATACGAGCAAGAGAAATGATTGCCCAGCCCTCCGCATACTCTCTATCGAATTCATCTTTACTTTTATACTTTTTTTTCTTCTCTATTTCTTTCAGACTAACGATAACGATAGTGCCGGGCAAAGTCCAACAGCCCAGGCGGTAGTACTTTCAACTGTTTTTTTCACACTATCATGTTCCTTTCACTCTGATTTTTTCGTTTCTTTGGGTGCGTTGAGGATATCCGAATATATTTTTGAGATTTTTCATGTGATGAACTTCAAATTCCTGTCAAGAGTTGAAATAATACTAATGCTAATTTGCTTTTGATTATTTGAGTGAACGATTCACGTCGATTTAGCTCTCAGCTGAGTTTTCGAGGAATATCTCCGAATCTAAGGCAGATAGCGAAATTTTTATAATAGCCTTTATTGTAGCTCTCAACTCGCTCTACAAAAGAGGTCATAACAAGAATTTTGCTATCTTCCTTCGATTCCGAGATATTCATTGAACCCTGACTGATAGTCAAAATCGACTTGAACCAAAACAAAGTTTAAAAATCGATAAACTTTGTTGGGAATAAAAATAAGTAGAGTAATCGTGTGAAAACCATCACTTGAAGAGATGACAGTGAATATTCATAAGATCTTTGACTTCAGCTATTTCGCATTCGAATGAAGTTCGCGAATGAAATTCATCACTTTTTATAACAAAAAAAATCCAAAAAATGTAAGTTAGAAATTCGGGTCCTCCACATCGCCCATTTCAAAATTCTCATTGTCCAAAAAATTTTGATAATCTTGTGTTTAGCACAGTCCAGCTCTGCACTAATAACACATCTTCATTTACCTTGTAAAACTAGATAAATTCGCTACATCCGAGTAAAATCATCCATTTACGATGTATATTTTTACTTTCATCCAATTTCTCTAGTTCATAATTTTTTATGGGGAGACTACCATCGGTTTTAAAATTCGCGGGCTGTGGGAGCGAGATTTATCATCCATTGAAGATTGATTATGTAAATCTAAAAACGAATAATTAGTGCAAAAAAATTTATTGTTTATTATCCGTTTACCCCGCAGACGCTTCGAATATTTAAAATAGTCCAGGGCCTTCAATTTTTGAGGTACTGAGGTTTTTTTTTAATTTTTGAAAATAAAAAGTGTACAATAGCAATTATGAGTTAGTTTTTTTAAAAAATCGACTCCTACACAGCTAATTTCGTTTTTTTTTTCATTAAAAAAATGGGAAAATTCATATAAAATAGCCAAAAAAATGATCCTCAAAATATTTGAAATATATTTTCGATTCTTGCAGAAACAGTTTTCTGGCTAATTGATATTGTACACATCTTCTCACAATTTTTGAAAAAAAAAAAAAAACATTTGTAGCTCAAAAATTGGAGGCCCAGGACTATCTTAAACATTTTAAGCGTCTACGGGGAAAACGAACAACCAACAATTAAAATTATTAATAATTATTAATTATTATTTAAATAATTTTTTTCGCACTAATTATTTATTTTTAAACACATATAATCAACCTTCAATGTATAAAAAAATCTCACTCCAATACCCCTCGACTTTTAAAACTCCTAGTAGTCTCCCCTTAATCACCATCATCACGTCAATCACCACTGAACTACACAAAACCCATATCACCCATGAATTCCCCTAGAACACTCGAAATAGCTACTAATACCTCAATAGAATAGACTAATAATTCTAGCAAATCCGTCAATGAAGATGGTATTGAGTTTTACCCCTCAAAACTCAATGTATTCTTTTTTGATAAAAGGTACCTCCTTCAATAGTGCTCTCCACTCAAAAGATATCCAGCTGACTATTTTACAATTTTATACATTAAACCCCCCCATTCGAGAAATGAATGCCAAAAATCCCAGACTAATGTATAAAATCGTAAAATTCGTATACAACCATCTGGTATCAACTCGTTCTTCCTTTGCGATTCAACATTTTACCGAAAATAATGCGGTGTAAGTAAAGAAAAAGAAGAAAGACCGTAAACCCAGGCACCTAGCCAGAGCCTCAGTAGCTGGAATTGAAAAAAATTCGACGCAGCGAAAGCTAGTTCGCCTTTTGCCTCAACCCCTCCCCCTCCCCTAGACAAAAATCTAATTAACTATCTGATTCTCCCAAAAAAAAAGATTGAAACCTCCTAGTTGAACTAATTTACTCCTAGAACGATGCTAGATCGAACTTAGATACTTTTTATCCATTTTGCTCATGTCAAATCGCTCAGTTGTGCTGATTAAAACCAATTAACATTCCCTGACTTGAGCATAAAATATTTTATCACCTCGAGTAGTTTAGAGGAACTGTTTTTACCTGAAGAATAGATAGATTATTATTTATTTCGAGTTATGAGTAGACCTCGCTTGATCTTTCCTAATGCATCAACACACTGACACACTCGACAATTATTTTGAATTACACCCCCCTGGCGATAATCCGTGTTAAAACACCAATTGATTCCATTGGGTTGAGGATTTATCGAAATTACTATCACTTATTCTTCACTTCACGTTATTCACTCGAGTTGAAGTATGATTAACAATCAGGAAATCATTACTCTGCTAAATACGATTTATCACATTGACCACTTGTAATATTTAGGCATGTTTTGAATGGTATTTTTGATCATTTTTATTATCAAGTTTATGTGTGCGTACAAGGTAGGGAGTTTCCTATAGAACGCCAGCTGTGTTTGTGAATTTTGGTATCGGCTTGGTACTTTCTTTTGGTAATTGATGATAATGCACAGATAGAAATTTATCAGAATTTTTCAAACACATTTTCGCCATGAAAATGATTTTTTCACACGAAATTCGTTCAAAAAATTACGTAAATTCTGCAATTAAATGCTCTATCAGTGTAATGTTTGTGCGTGCGCAACTGGACTTGACTAATTTATCGAAATTTCGTGGATCCTCATCGATCGAATCCCGGAATCGATGATAATCCATGAACAGTTTCAATCTGCATGCTTAAAATAATTAAACTGCATTAATTCAGTCTGTCAATGATTATATTACTCTACATATTCTATTAAAATCACCATTGTACTACGCATCACACAAAAACGTCCACAGATTTATGTCACGCAAATAAACATTTCCAATTTGCTGTTTGAACAAACATATACAGGCTTTAAACGATATATTTATTGAATTTCTAACTATTCACTGAGACGTAGAAATTTCACATGAGTTGCACGAAATTCCATTGAGAATTCTCACGTCTCCGTGAGCCCATCCACTTCGCAATTTGACTTCACAAGATAATTTTTTAAAAAATCAATTCAATCGTGAACTCATGCTTTCATTTCCAACTTCAATATTCAATGATAACACATTGCACAGTATACCACCACGACACTCTATCTGTGGCATGGTTTCAAGCAAAGGTTTTGAAAAAATTGACCAATAATTTTACACGATATCTTTTTTACACGATAATTTACCTGTGGAATGTCTCTTTCTCAATCTCGCTCCAGTTTCTCATATTTCTCCTGTCTGTATCTGCATTCAATATCTATTTGATCATGCGATAATGCACCATGTTGCACAAGAATTAATTAATCCAAGAACGAGTGAATAATTCCTGTGAATTGTACACGCATAAAAAAAAAGGAATGTGAACAAATGGACTGAGGCGAGAAAGAGACTGATGCTGAATGCACACGGAAGCCAAGTGTCCGTGTTGGAAACGGTGAAAGCCTGTATGTGCATTGTACATACGTCGTGGACCATGGCAGTGATGCGTGTGAATACCTAATTGAATAGCAAAATGAAACATAAATGATGAAAAGAAAAACAAATGTGCCGAGTCTGACACGGGTTTGACACGTCCGAACAGCGTTCTTCTTTCTTCAACTGCCTGATGGACATGGCCGGGGTTAATCACACGGGTAATCATCATGGAAGCCGATTAAACAGTCTTGAGCCACCGGGTGTCGATGGAAAGACTGAGGCTACGAAGGAGGGCAAAGAGGAAGAGGGAGCCCTTGGGGTTCTTGCTGCTGCCGAGAAAAGGCGTCAGCGTAGCATCAGGTCTGTCGAGTTACTTTCAGCATTAAATATATTATCATCACTTTTTCCCATTAATGAGATTGTGAAGTAGTTGTGATGGGTTTTGGAGGCATTCTAGAGAAAAAGTCTCTGCAAGAGTGGGTTTTTTAAGAGTAATAATTCGGTTTTTTTTTACTGCAGACAGAAAGCAAAAAATCTTGAGTCATAAGTTGATATGCAACTTTGACTCAACTTGAGTCTATGTAAATGTGAACTTTATTCTCAACTTTGGATTTCACTTGAATCTCAACTCGAGTCAAGTTGAGTACTTGAGTTGAATTTAAGTCAACTTGACTCAACCTGAATCTCTACTTGAATGTTAACTAATGTCATTGAAAAGTAGTTGTGATGGCTTTCGGAGGTATTCCAGTCAGAAAGTCTCTGCAAGAATGGATTTTTTAAAAATAATAATGCGTTTTTTTACTGCAGACAGAAAGCAGAAAATCTTGAGTCTCAACTTGAAATGCAATTTGACTCAATTTGAGTCTATGTAAATCTGAACTTTATTCTCAACTTTGAATTTCACTTAAATATCAACTCGAGTCAAGTTGCGTGTTTTTTAATTTGGCTGCCTACTTGAGTTGAACTTAACTCAACTTGAGTCAACCGGAGTCTGTTTGGATGTTATCTTCATTCTCAACCTTGGATTTTACTTGAATTTCAGTATAAATCACTTCAAGTGTGTTATTTTCAACATGACTGTCTATTCCAGTCTAAAATTGAGTCAATGTTTCTCAACTTGAATCTCCATATGAAAGTTGAACCTCAGTTTAACTCAATTTGATTCAAGATGAGTGTGTTACTAATTTGACTCACTACTTATGTCTAAACTTCAGTCAGTTCGACTCAACTTGACTGTCTACTTTATTTTCAACATGACTTTCAATGTAACTTTCGACTCAACGCTATATTCAATTAATTATCATTAACTTGACTGTCTACATGAGTCTACACTTGAGTCAACTTGACGCAACTTCAATTGTCTACTTGATTTTCAACTTCAGTCTGAACTCAATTCAATTTGACTCGACTTGAGTGTCTACTCAATTTTAAACATGACTTTCAATTGAATTCTCCACTCAACTCAATATCCAAAATCGATTCCAAAGTCGTGTTGAGTCAACCTCTCATTCTACTTGTATTACATTCACCTCAACTTGATCAATTCAATTCTATCACAGAGACTTTCCACTCGGATACCTTTAAACGTGAAATTACTTTCAGTTTCATCATTCAACCAACCAAATATCTCCAATTAATACCATATCCAATAATTAAACAAAAATTCTGATTGCAGAAACAAAAAGGTGAACTGGAAGATGTCCCACCAGTACGATAAACTAGGGAGCAGCGGAGAGAGTAGCCAGGGAGGGGGTGGGTCTGGGGTTGTAGTTAACGGCGATGAACGTGGCCCCGAGTTAGAGCCATTGCTGGCAGAGTCCTCCCAGGACCACTACCATCATCATCAATACTACGATACCGACAATGATCAATACTACCATCACCACCATCATCATCACCGACCACCCTCGTACTATCAACACCAGAACACCTACGCACCTCGCTCCTCAATCCGTTACCTCAAGGTGTCGGCTCGGTCCAAGAAAAAAAACCAATCAAATCAAGTCAATTTAGTGAAACGAGAGATATTTCCATTCTCATCATTTCGATTATTTTCTTTTCTTTGAATTATTTCATTCATTTCTTCCAAAAACCACCTTCCCTTTTGTTCTTATTCGTCAGTTTAAAAATGACTTTTTTTACATAAATTGTCGACCAATTATCGATAATTATCGCTCAATTACGGAGCATTCGTATGAAGGAGAAAGGCTCAATTAGTTTTTCAAACAATTTTTGTGGTTTTATTTTTCTTTGGTGGTACCTTGAATTTTTTGTTGTTGTTAGATTTATGTCTATACTAGACGTCATTTAATTGAAGTATATTTTCTAGATGAGATATCGTCTCTATAGATAAATCAACTCAGTCAGATACTCCAGAGATGGTCAGTTTATTTGTGGGTAGTGAAAATAATGTTAGATTACGAGTTATAGTCGTTGAACACAGTTACAATAGAGTACACATGGTCCTGGAGAATAGTATTTCCACCACAATGTTGTTATCATCATCTACGAATGAGAAATGATCGTGTTGTGGTGGAAATTTGAGTCTAGTTACTGTTTATAGAAACACGGGGACACTTAGAGTGATTTTATTCATTAAGAATAATTGATAAACAACTTAGAGATCAGTCTTACCCTTCCCTAGCTGCTTTCGTTCCCGAATAAGAATAGAGTGAAAAAATTTGGATCAAGTCGTCCAGATTTTTATTCCGTGTTTTTTCATATTTTTTGTGTATAAGTTTCTACCTGATGGTAAGTAATGTATCTGAATGTTTGACGGTGATAGAACACAGGAGTTTAACAGGCAACCACTAATTTTTTTTACATATCCCCTTTCATTACTGAATCAGACAATCAAAGTGCATGTGCATGTTCAAGTCATTCTCTACGCATGAAATTTTTTAATCATTCTTACGAGTATTCAAGACCTTTTCCCTTAGTTTCCCAGATTTTTTTTGTTATTGAGCTCTCTACTTCGACGCTGAAACAATCCGTGAACTACCAGTGTATTTCGATCTTCAGAAGTTGTAGAAATGAAATCATCAGTTTTAGAGAATTTTTTAGAGGAATTGAGTGATTTAATTGTGAGAAATGCTCTTCTGAAAATGCGAAATATGCTGTCACGACAGAGGCAAAAGGCGTCTCGATAAATGTAAATGGAATATTGAATAATTTTTTTATCGTCAGATTTTAATTGAAATGAGAGAAGTCGAGCAAAGGAATCAACGATGCCCCAGGTTTTCGAATCCCCCTTGTGAAAAAATATCAAGAGTGTTGGTAGAGTAGTTATTGTCATCTTATACGAATTTCTTCCTCCGTTTAAAGGACCTTCAGGATATCGTACCTAGTGATTCAAGGGCAGGGAGTCTGGAGAGCCTGACGCAAGGGGACAGGCTTCATCCGCAACATGTGCAGCATCCGCCGAGGCATCATTCACGCTCACCAAGTTTAAGGTATTTTTTTTCATAGATAAAGCTTTCTTTTGATCTGAATTTTTCATGAAATTTTATGAATTGTTTATACAATGGGTAATTTCATAAAATGACAGCATGAACTCTTGAAATTTTCTCCTTAAATCATTAATCATTAGGACGATTCGTCTATTTAGCTTGACTTTGAATCTCCACCGAGCGCCACTTGGCTCAACTCAACTTGACTCAACTTAACTGTTTATTTTATTTTCAACTCTAGTTTTTACGTGAGCCTCAACTTGAGTCTCGATGTGAATTTTAACTTGAGTCTTAACTTCACTTAATTTAACTCAACTTGACTCACTTTGATTGTCTAGTGGATTTTCAACTTGAGCATCTACTCAACTTTGAACTTGAACCGCTGCTTTGAGTCTCCACCGAGCTCTACTTGACTCAACTCACCTTCATTTTTTAGTTTTAACTTGAGTTTCTACTTGACCTTTAAGTTCAGTCTTCATATAAAGTTTAACTTAAGTATCAACTTGACATAATTCAACTCAACTTGATTTTTAACTGAGTGAATTAACTTGACTTGATTCAACTTGATTGTCCACTTGATTTTTAACTTGAAGGTTCATGTTAATTTTGACTTACGCCTCAAATCAACTTAACGTGACTCAACTCAACTGTTTATTTTATTTTCAACTTGAGTTTCTACTTCACTCTCAACTTGAGTCTTCATGTGAATTTCAACTTGAGTCTCAACATAACTTAATTTACCGCAACTTGACTGTCTAGTGGATTTCGAACCTGAGCATTAACTCAATTCAACGTGAAGAGTATTTGACTCAACTCAACTTCATTTTTTAGTTTAAACTTAAGTTTCAACTCAACTCAAATTAACCATTTATTTCACCATTTCAAAATTTTCACATGATCAGTCATCGAATAATCCATCACCCCTGCAATGACTCCCCACAATTAACAAATGAATCATCTTAACAAATTTCCAGAAGGCACTCACCAATACACAGATCGCCATCACCATCTCGACGAGCGAGATTCGACCACCACCATCATCCCTACCACGAAGGACCTGGTTTCAGCGATGCAGTCAGTAATGTCGTGGAAATTCAAAGGCACACACACACACCCCATCACTCACAGTACAATCATCGTCATCGAATAAGAGGTAAAATCCAAATTACCAATTCCCGAATAAAGCGATAGTTATCGTGTGTTAAGTGATAAACTCGTGAGCTGAGAATCACATTTATCGATAAATCCAATCTACTGTGTACAGAAAATGAAAAATAAGTGATTCAGTGCTATTGAAAAATACTGAAGAACAATTCATTGATATGAATGTGTTTGCTATAAATGGTTTATTCGCAAGAAGCAATTGATGCTCTCTGTGTTTACTCGATGTAATACGTTTTTTCTTCATTCTTTTGGGTTATGCGCTCTACACAGACTATTACGACCACTGCGACTATTACGACGATGGTAATTCCTTTTATTTCACGAAAAAAAAAGAAAAGAAAATGAGAAAGATTCATTATAACTATTCTCTTTCAACTATTTTTCGATTTTTTTCCATTCGTTGTTTAGCTTTTGCTGCTTTATTTGAATTACAATCTCAGACAGCACAACACTGTTCCAACACAGTCGGGGATTTTTTATTGAAGTTCCAGGGGAACACGACATTGTTTACACTTTAGCTTAGTGATCAACACTCTGCAGTTAATTTTACGAGGGGAATACACGTGGGTACACGGGTTGGCGCACATGACAGATGCATGGGCTTTTTTATTGTTATCTGATGGTACACCTACACTTCCATTTCACCCTGAGTTCTTGCATAGTGTTGTATTATGTATATTTGTAGTGAATGTATTTGATGGGGTGAAGAGATTCAAGGGTACACGTGGAAATTTGATAATTAGCAAATGCACTGTTGGAAAAAAAATCTTATTTCGTGGGCAGTTAATGGACTAGGAATTCGCAGGAGAATGACATTGAATTAGATTTAGCGGGGGAAAAATGGATTTGACTGGATGTAAATTGGGATTTGATTGGAAATTCAGTGAAATTCGGAATCTCTGTGCAATGGAAGACGAAATATGAATATTCAGTACCAAATTGGGCTAGATTTTTTATTGATTTTTATCAATTTTTATGGAATAAGTGAACTGAAATGAACAGTTTTCGTTGATATTTCCACAAAATTTTGAATTTGCAATTATTAAATTCTTTAAAACTTCAGTGAAACCGTAATGTGATGGAGAAAAATTTCTACTTCACTCACATTTCTAATCAAAACATGAATATTGAATACTAGATAACAAGAGTATATTCACATGAATTTTATCAATTTCTATGAATTCGTAATGACTAATTCCACTGAAATTTGCCGTTTCCATAGATTTTTCTTGAAAATTCTTCATTTTCAATGAGGAAATTCTTCAAAAACTGAATTTTCAATTACTTGAAAACTTCTACAATTTTAGTAGCATTTCCACAATTTTTTCAATTTCCAATTACAAAATTCTTTAAAACTCTAGTGAAACTGCAATGTCATGAAATAAAAATCCAATTTCACTTACATTTGCGATCAAAACTGAATATTCAGTACCCCAAACTATTCTGAATTTTCAATTAATTCGAAATTAAAAAATATATTCGTCTGAATCTTGCTGATTTGTATGAAATACACAGAATAATTCTACTAAAATTTGTAGTTCTCATTGATTACTCTATAAAATTCTAAATTTTCAATAAGGAAATACTTCAAAAACTGAATTTTCAGTTACTTGAAACTTCTACAATTTCATTGATATTTCCAAAAAATTTTCAATTTCCAATTACAAAATTCTTTAAAACTCCAATGAAACTGCAATGTGAAGAAAAAAAAATCCAATTTCACTCACATTTGTGATCAAAACTTTATATTCAGTACCAAATCACGCTGAATTTTCAATCAATTGGAAATCCAAGAATACATTCACCTGAAATCTTGCCAATTCCTATCAATTCTCATCGAATAACTGAACCAAAATTTCCAGTTTCCATTGAATTTTCCATAAAATCCCGCATTTTGAAATCCAAAATTCCTCAAAACTGCAGTGAGCCCACGACATGAAAACTACCGCCAAGCCTACAGAAACTTTAATCCAAGAATTATCAACAGTCACGATTTTTACGGAATTTCACACGAAAACCCGTCCATCCATTTTGCGACAGATCTCTTCACCCCGCCGACGTACCCCGTCGAAGCCCCAAACCCCAGCTGCCCGCACCCCCGTTGGCCCGCTTGCCGCAGCATGCCCACAGCAACCTAGAGAATTCACACACTCTAACTCTCATCTCTCTTAAAGCCCCAAAAAAATCCCCAGGTCCCTGGAGTGCCTCAACGAGTCCAGCCCGTTCGCCAAGTCCAGTCCACCGTATGGACCACCGTGGCCACCACTACGGTACAACCTCCCTCGAGCAGCGATCGCGTAGTCCAAGTCCAATAGGTGGACGTCAATCGACCCACCACCGTCACCCCCATCACCACCACCATCACCCCCACCAGCACAGTTACCCAGTGCTGGTGACACGTCGTGGTCAGGGAAGAAGACTACCCCCAACGCCAAATAAGCCATCGACACTCCAGTTAAAGCCAGCAAACATAAATTTTCCGAAATTAAATGCCTCCCCGACTCATGGCCCCCACATGGCCCAGCATGTACCACCAACAGCTGTACTACCCCCAACACACGGTCCATCAACAGCATCTGGTGTACACGTGCCAAGTATGTCATCAACTGTTCACTGTCCATTGAGCTTCGAGCAGGCTGTGGCAATGGGTCGTGGTGGACGTTTACTACCGAGTCCAGTGCCCAACGGTTACAAGCCCCAACCAAGTGGTGGACAGAAACAAAGAACACCGAGATCCAGGCATTCAGACAGCGACGAGGACGACTGGTGCTAGCCAATGTGGGACCCTGGACGGTGGTCCAGTGATGTGGACACTAATTCTAGGGGCCTCAAGGCCTGTGCGTGACACCACAGGGACCGTGTTTCATTAATTTTTCCATCATTTACTTCACTCTCATTCATCATTTATCGTTTAACATTTTTTTTATCAAAGTGAGAAAAAAGAAAACTATTTATACCATATCCTTACGCACGCTTGTCTCATTGGCGTTTAAAGGCGACCGGATGGGGTCACGTGAATATATATTTTTGTTCTTTCCTCCTCTTCTCTCTCTATTTAACGGGTTTCTACGTTTTATTGTGTCACTCGTTTTAATAATCAATGACATTTCGCATGAATCGGGATTATATCCTTTACGTGGACATTCCCATTGTGTATATACGTGATACATAATGTGTATATATGCGTATACGTATTTGTGATGGTGTAGAGAGCCAATTTGATGATTAAGGTGTTTCAGGATTTTTTTTACAGTGGGGAGAGGAGAAAGTCGAGGTGTGTTGACGTTGTTGTTGATCGTTTTTAGAGTTTTTATGGTGTCCAGTTGGTCCAACCGTTTTGCCCCCCCCCCCTCCATGGTTACATTTCACCTCCTCGTTCAGCCACAACCTTACTCCCGCCCCTCACCCTCCCCGGGTCGTGAAATATATACGGGGTACTTTTTATACAATTAATAAATTCACACGTCGAGAGATCCTAGAGTGGCTGCAGCGGATTGGACCGTGATATTTTGATTAGTTGAGTGTTTTAAGTTGACATTGGTTCAGGTGAGGGTATCCAAGTGCTTCGGGTGGTCTTTCTACGGTGAGATGAGGTTATTTGAGCCACATTTGACCGTAAGTTTACGGACATTTTACTGGTATTTATTTTATTATTTAAACTTTACAGGTCTTAATTTGAATGTCGATACTGAATAGTTTGGAAACATTTGAGAAATGAGAAGGGAAATTACCAAGTTTAGTTTTGGAGGGAGATTCATGGAATTATCTAAAAATGGCAGTTTTTGAAAATTGAGAACGGTTTCTGTAAATGATTTATAAATAATCAATTGTCCACTGCAAAAATCATTTTTCCGGCGTCGTAACAAATCTATTCATGCCCGAGAAAATGAGGTTTCAGAAAATTTAAACAATTCAACTTATTTATTCAGAAGCAACGAATATTAAGAGAATAATTTGACACATTTGATGATTGAAAATGGTTGAGTTTATAGTGTGGTCTGTACCAAATTATGGAAGATACTTGAATATCCTTGAGAGGAAAAATTCATGGATTTTTAGATTTCACTGGACATTAAATGAAATTCAGTAAAATTCACTTCAGTTTTTAATTAATCGAGAATCCAAGAATATGCTCACCTGAATTTTTGTCATTTCTATCAATTTTCATGGAATGATTGAACTGAAATTTAGTTTTCATTAATTTTTCCATTGAGGATATTCAAGTACTTTGGCTATTTTTTCTTCAGTGAAAGGATTTTCTACTTTTGTAGCAATCAGAGCTCCCATTTGAGCCCCATTTGACCCTAACTTTTCCGACATTTTACCATTATTTTATTATTTAAACTCCGCAAGTCTGAAATTGAATCTCGATATTGAACGGTCAGAAAACATTTTAAAAATCTAAAAAAAATAGAAACTTCACTTTTGATGAAATAATTAAAAAATGGCAATTTTCAAAAATTACGCGCATTTTCTATAAATGATTTATAAACAATCAATTTTCCACCACAAAAATCATGTTCAGAATCGTAACAAATTTATTCATATTCAAGAATTTCATCAGAAGTCAAACATCACGTTTAAACAATTTCAATTATTTATTTACAAACAACGAATATTCCAAAAAATAATAATTAAGTGCAAAATGTAATTTGAAATGCGCTGAATATTCCTGATTTTTTCCCAATTTTTCTGACGCAATTTAATTGACAAATCGAATTTTCCAACTGTGAAAGACACTTGGATATCCTTAACGCCTCATTCGGTGCTGAGGACAATTGGTATCAGCGATACGCCTCGAGTTTCTCCTCGTTTTTCCCCATTGTTAATACGTGGAATAGTGTGAGCCGGATTCTCACGCGAAGAGTTTAAATGAAATAATAAATTGAATAAAAAAAATGTCGATAATCGTGTCAGTGACGCGTCTCCGATTATCGTCCTGGATAAATATTTATTAAGTTATTATTAATGATGATAATGGATATATGGTTATAAGCGATGATGAACGAATCGAATGAACTAAAGTGCTTACAATGATAAATAAAACAAAGACTCTAATGAAAAAATTTTCTCCGCGTAATTTAATAGGTTTAAAATGATACACTGCCGGCTCACCGGGGCCTGTTTACCGTCGAATAGTTTAATTAATTTGGGAACTGACGGGCGGGAATGCGGCCTCGGTGAACGGATATGGAAACAATTTCAAGTAAAACATTTTAAAATGGGGGAAAGTGCTGAGATTTGGTTGTTTGAGGGAATTTTATTGATTGAGGTAAGGGGTGTGCATGGGATGGGGGTTTGGGGGGCTGAACCTTGTGCTCTGACCCTTCGGGTATTGACGGAACATGTATTTATGCGATTCGCATCGTTTAGATATCACTCTCGTGTTTTCACTACACTTTAATGAAAAAATGAAGGAAAAAAATAAAAAAATGAGTAAGTAAGTGAAGTAAGTCCTTTTAGAATCCTTAGTGTTGGTTAAGCGATGGATTGTGTGGCTGGGTGACTGGGTTTTTGGGTGAGACAGGCGACTCTGGGCGACCGAGGCCAATCGACGTTTTAGTGCTCGAGGAGAATTTTTTTCGGTCCGTTTATTCTGTTCGCGTTTTGGTATTTCAGAGTGATATTGCTGGGAAAACATTGAAATTTCAGGGACTTTTTGGCAAATTTCAGTGAATACAGGAATTCTCAGACTTAGGTGATTTTTCCTGATTTTAATTCATTTTCACGGAATTTATGGAATGGAATTCACATTTTCGATGGCAAAATTCCTTCAAATTTCGGTCGAACTGTCGCGTGTTAACAATTTTTAAAAGTTTAACCCGAAATTTCAACCGAAAATTTTCAACATTTTTGAGAAAAAAATTACATTTCAAGGACTATTGAGCAAATTTCACTGGAAATTCAATGGAATTCCATTTTTTAGAAGCAGGAAGACAAAAATTCCCTGACTTCCTTGAATTTTCCTGATTTCCATTCATTTTCATGAAATATTTGAACTGAAATTCACATTTTCCATCCATTTTCGCATCGAATAACTGAATTCTTGAAATTTCAGTAGAACTGTTGCTGAGTAAAAATTTCCTAGAGTTTTACCAGAAATTTCAACCGAAGATTTTTAACAGTCAGACATTCAGTAGGAGACGCAATTTTTGGGGAAATTATTTCTTAATTTGTTGTCATTGTTTTTAAAAAAATTTATTTATCAATGTTTCTCCTTTAGGTTCTGAAATATTTAGAGGCACAATTGCAGGAAAAAATTAAAATTTCAAGGCGTCTTTGAGAATTTTCATTGAAAATTCAATGAAATTACATTTTTTAGAAGCAAGAAAACAAAAAACCCCCCGTCTTACTCGCATTTTCCTGATTTCCACTCCTTTCAGCCAATAATTGAACTGAAATTCACATTTTCCATCCATTTTCCCATCAAATAACTGAATTCCGCCAAAAAAATTCCTTGAAATTTCAGTGGAACTGTTGCCGAGTAAAAATTCCCGGGGTTTACCAGAAATTTCAACCAAAAGTTGAGATGAAAACTCTTTAGTTTTTTTATGGAGAAAATTCGTTTGTGGATATATCGTCATTCCCTTTAGGTTCCAAGACATTCATCAAAATCGCGACTGACGAGACAGTCTGAGTTTCTTTCCCTTTTTATAAATTATTTTTCGAAAAACCTCTCAGAATACAACCGAAATAGCAAAATTTCGATAGAAAGTTTTCCAAAAAATTCTGCCATCTCCCTTAGATTCGCAGATACCCTCGAAAATTGAAGTGAAGGTAACTCAAACTGTTCTGCCCCTCTCACTCAAATTGATAACAGGGTCTAGAAGCGAAACGAGATCGTACTAATTAGAACCGTAAAGAGTGAATAAACCTCTGCGCGTGTCAAAAATAAAAGATTTTTTCTATGCGATAAAAAATAAAACACTAGGAGAAAAAATTGCTGACTCTGGGGGTGAAACTCCACGTGATTCTCCTCCTCGATAATCAGGAGGAATATTAACGACTGCAACACGAGAGTAACTAGAGGATGAATTGTTGAATGAAAAATCCCACGGGCATTGTAAAGTGTACAGCCAATTTGGTTGATCAGTCTCGCAGTACGAGACAAAGGAGACAAGTCTCCTCATACTATTCAATAATTATCGATTTTAATGGCTTCATTTCAGGAGCCAGAAGATAATCTATCAAACGTTGTCAATAAATCCCGTAAAATTCGACTAAAATAATTCGACAAACGCTTGAATAAAATTCTTACCGATTCGCTGAGCCTAAAATTCACCGGAGAACGTATGAATCGTTTTTATTCTGATCATAATTCTGCCAATGTAAATGCCCCTCCAATCGTGCCAATCATAAATCTAATATTCCGATATTTTACTCGACTTCTCAAGAATAGGAAACTCGCATGATGTTCTAAAAGCAAACGAGAAGTATTATTTATTCAAAAATTTTGGAGAGACATCCTTCAGTGAGAGAGTATTTTATTTCTGCGTCGAGAATGTGACTCCTAGGAAATCAGTAGAGTAAAGCATATGAGGAATTTTACAAGGTTGAACATTGTTGGCTGAATTTTCTGGGATAAGATGAATGATCCTACGCTCGTGTAGCTAAGGTGAACATCATTAGTCCAATATTTCTATTGAAATGAGTGTAAAGATGCGATTTTTTAAATTAGATATCAGAAAGTGAAAACTTCAGAATTAGAATTCACTTACATTACTCATGATAATTACTATTTTTTAATAAATAATCGTCCATAAACGTGGAAAGTCCCATGTCCCTACGCTCGCTCATTTGTCCCCTTGTACGTTTGACACATGTCCCTATCCTCGTCTCGTGATTTGAATGATATGGAAAGGTTGTATCCGAACTAATTACATCGTGAGTATCCTATTTGGGATGAAACAACATTAAAAAATATCTCGAGGCAGAAAATTATATTTCAATTGAACAGTCCAACCTTTTAAATGATTTTTTCATCCGCAAGTCCGTTACCAGTTGACAGTTGGTTGCAAAACGAGCATAGGATCAATGCCATTTCCACTGTACCTATTCTTTTAATTGCCGAAATTTCTGTGAAATATTAAGATATTACTATAATTTATGCATTTTTATTGTCTTTTAACCATCCGAAATCTGAGTCAAGGGATTTTTAATCCTATTTTACTATTATAACGGAGATATGAGCATTTTAAAATTGTGAGTTTTTTAACTCGCGGCTTAAGAATTAACTCTGTTGTAGCACCAGTTGATGTGAATGGGATTTTTCTCTCTTATTCTTCAATAAGTCACTGCTCCTTGGTGTCTGCAACTTTCCTTATTAACTAAAATAATAACTCCAATCGTATTTCACTCTTGATAGACTCTTGGGACTGTCAAAATGATTAAAATGTGATAGCTCACGACATCTGAACGAGCGTAAGACAGGGACGAGCGGAGGTACATTAACAATAAGCCTCATGCAGTTTCCCATTCCAGAGATTCGACAAAATCCCAGCGAAAATTTTCAATTTGTGAATTTATTTCGATCGAAGAAATGGAGACGCTCATTCCTATCGCAATAATCAGCACTCACAATTCAATAGGATAATGAAATCGAAAGATGCACTCGTGACATTAAACTATTACTCTCCCTGGGCTAGCATTCCACCAGCCAATGATAAGTAAACCGACATTAATACTTAACTTAATTACTAATAGTAGTTATGAATAGTTAATTCGCAAGGACTGGGACGCGATGAAAATCATAGGATCGGTGAGTTGAGAACGAAAAATTGGGGATGAAGGGGAAGATGAGGGCGTTAATGTCCTCTCGCGTTAATTCATGAGTAATAAAGACACATGTTTAATACTGCCATTCGTACGAGGACTGTTTATTCGGTTATAAACTGCGGATTAATGTTCCACGTACTCTAACAAAAGATGAACAAAATATGAGAATACATTCTGCGTAGGTAGGTGCATCATTCGGCGATTATCCGTGCGCTGTCTAGGTTTCAATGAACGTTATGAGTGGATGACATGTGTGAAT